GAGGAGGAGGGGAAGGGGGGATGTCAGCCGACGCGGAAGCAGAACGGCGGAGGAGGGAAAACCAGGTGAACAGGCTGCTGAAAGTCGGACTAGCCTCCGTCGCCGGCGCAGCGTTGATCGGGGTGACGGGGGGACTGGCGGCTCCCGTGGTGGCGGGGGCGATTGGCGGGCTGATGGGGAGTGTTGGGCTGGGAGGGGTGGCGAGTTTTCTGGGGGTGTTTTGGATGAATGGGGCGTTGGTTGGGACTCTTTTTGGGGCCTGGGGGGGAAAGATGACGGTGAGTTCCTCCCTTATACTGAGGAAGAAGGCGTTGCGTCTGTCTGTCTGTTTACCCTTAGGGGGAGGTGTGCTGACGGTGAATACGCAATAGGGCGAAATGGTAGACCGGTATGCGAGGGAGGTAGAGGACTTCAAGTTCCTCCCCCTAAGGCAAGATCAAAATGAGAGGAGACTCAGAGTAACGATCTGCATAAACGGCTGGCTCGACGCCCCCGCAGACGTCTCCAAACCCTGGAGAATCCTCTCCCCGACCACCGAAGCCTTCGCCCTACAGTACGACCTTTCAGCCCTGCTCGGCCTTGGCACCTCCATCCGGCAACTCGTCACCTCTGCCGCTTTCAGGACCGTAGGAGCAGAGATCCTCAAACACACCGTCCTCTCAACCCTCTCGTCCGCTCTCTGGCCCGCCTATTTACTCTCTGCCGGCGCCACCCTCGTAGACAATCCCTTCTCCATTGCCAAAGCGCGCTCCGAAAAAGCTGGTCGGGTGTTAGCGGATGCACTGATTAATCGTGTGCAGGGCGAACGCCCCGTGACGCTGATAGGGTATTCCCTCGGCGCAAGGGTGATCTACACCTGCTTGCAAGAGCTCGCTGCCCGTGGAGCGTTCGGGCTGGTAGAAGATGTGGTCATGATTGGCGCAGCGGTGCCGAGTGATAAGAACGAATGGGAGACCATGCGGAGTGTTGTCTCCGGAAAGATGTACAATGCGTATTCCGAAAACGACTTTCTGCTGGCGTTTTTGTATCGCGCGACGGCGATCCAACTTGGCGTCGCCGGGCTGCAGGCCATCGAAGGGGTTGAAGGGGTCGAGAACGTGAATGTGGGTAGTGAGGTTGAGGGGCATGTGGGGTATAGGAAGGTGATGGGGAGGATATTAAGGAGGTGTGGGATTGCGGTTGTCGAGAAGGAAGTTGAAGGCAAGGAGGAGGAAGAGGAGGGTGAGATTAGGTTGATAGATGGGGACCCGGATTTGATCGATTTTGAGGTGTTGCGGGTTGAGGATGCTCAGGAGGGCGGGAGAAAGACTGCAGGACAGGAGAAGAGTTCGGCGAGTGAGGACTTGTTGGGGTTGGACTTGGGGGAGACGAAGGGGCTGGAAATGATACCGAGCATGACGCCGGGGGATGAGGCGGGGAAGAAGATGGCGCCTTTGATCCCTATGAGCCAACAATGGACCCCATCGTCTGGCGTATCTCATATCAAAGAATCAACCCCAGCTATCACAGGGGCTAAGGACTCCAATCCAAAGATTGGCATCCTGGAGAAGCTGGCAAACGACCGCAAGCCCTCAACCTCAGCTCTCTCTCAGGAGAGGTCAACCACGACATCAAGCTCTATTCCAATTAAGCCGCGACCTGCTGTCAACGAACGGGCATCCCTCTATATGGGTGTCCAGCCGGGCGACTTTGCAGAGGACGAGGAAGATGAGTGGGAAATCAAGCTGATCGACAACGAGGAGCTGGAGTATGTTGAGCCAAGGCCGATCGAGGATTGAGGGACAACTTGAGTCAGGGGGGTTGCAGGCTGTATAAAGAGGGAGCAACAAATAGTCAGGAAAGGCGAAGAAGAGAGAAGTGATACCCGAACCACAAAGTACTTAATTATTGGCATGACAAGATCTGAACAAAGTCTATCCGTACGCCCAACCTCCATTACCCATACCCTGGGGGATGGGGGGGAAACCAAAAAAAAAAAACCAATTAATCACTCTCTTCCTCTCCCTCTTCCTCCTCCTCCTCCTCCTCCTCCTCCTCCTCCTCCTCTTCACTCTCCTCCTCCTTTTTCATCCTCATCCTCATCCGACCCTTCTCCCCCCTCTGCGTCCTCCATCTCCTCATCTTCTTCCTCCTCCTCACTCCCTTCTTCCCTCTCAGCCGCCTTCTCTTCCCTCCGTTTCCTCTCCTCCTCCCTCCTCGCCTCCTCCATCAACCTCTTCCTCTCCTCCCTCAACTTCCTTTGCGCCACCACGTACGCCCCCAACGGCGTCTTCTCCCACTCCAAATCCTTCAAAAACGCATCCACCTGCGCCCGATCCTTCGGCGCAAAGTCGACCTTGGCCCTGCGCTCCTCAATAAACTTGGCGTTCATCTCCAGTTTCTGCACGAGTACCACCAGACTGGACCCCAGCTTCGCGTTCTTGTTGCCCTTCCCCGGCTTCCGCATCTCCTTCATCCAGCGTTTGAGCGCGACGATGGTAGGGAGGGCAAACTCGGGGAAGGCGATGTTGCGCGACCAGAGGACGAAGAATTCCGAGAGGAGCTCGACGACTTGCTCGCCGACGCCGTCTTGGTAGACGCGCGTGCGCAGGTAGGACTTGGGCGTCTTGTAGGCGGTCGCGAAGTCGAGAGGCTTCAGGGTGGATGATTTTGGCGGTTTCTTCATCTCGGCCGACTGCAGGACCTCGAGGAGAGCCGAGGCGAGGGGGATGTAGGTGTCCGTTGCGCGGGACAGGCGCAGGAGAGAGCGGATGAGATGGAAGCGCAGGGGGAAGTAGATCGCGGTCGGGATGAGGCGCATCGCGCCGAGAGTGACTTGCACGAGGGGATAGATGAGCGGGCGGAGGGGGGATTCTTTGCCGGCTTCGGCTTCTTTCAGGGGGCTGCAGTGCTCAGAGAGGACGCATGACCAGAAGTCGAGAGAGTGCACATATTGCCAGTTGTAGACATTGCGGTAGGCTTGGTTCTTGTTATTGATGATGCTGTTGCGCAGGTGGATGGCGAGCTGGCGGATGGAGGTGAAGGCGGTGGTGTAGCCGAGGTTTTGGTCAAGGCCCCAGAGCTCGGCGGCCGAGTTCTTCATCAGGTTGATGCCGCTGAGCGTGTTGGCGTTGGTGACGCGGCAGCCTTGGACGAGGCCTTGGTAGGAGGCCTTGAGCACTGTCTCGCGGACAGCCTTGTCGCCGATGACGACGAGACGCCGGATGACCAGGAAGGCTGTTATCCTGGTCGAGTCGGTGCTGGCTGATTGCGACCAGAAGGCGACGACAGTCTTGATGAGCATCTTGAGGAGCTTGCGGAAGGAAAGGAGGTAAGGGAGGAGAGGATGGAGGGCTGAGAGAGTAAGTTTGAGGGTGCCGTCGTCCGAGAGCGTGCTCAGCAGACGGATGATGGCCGCCGTAAAGTTCTTGATGAGCATCGACAGCGTCTTGAACTTCTTGCCCTCGGTCTGCACATACGTCTTACCAGACGAAGATTCCTTGACCGGCACGTGGTGTTGCAGCACCTCGGGGATGTGCTTGAGCGCGGTGACGACAATGTCGTGGAAGACCTCGGGACTAGTAATGCTGTACCGCGGCGGGTTATCCTCATCAATCTCGTGCAGGGTGGCCGCGCAGCGGAAGGCAATAACAACCTGGCGGGCCGCCCTGAGCGAGTGTGTCTCCTCCATCGATTTCTTCCACTTGGCGACCATCTCCCGGGTCAACTCCCGATCATCCTTGCCTTCCTTGCCCTTCTTCTTCTTCTTCTTCTTCTTCTCCTCCCCCTCCCCCCCCTCCTCCGTCTTCTGCTTTTTCTTGGGCTGTTCCTCGTCCTCGCTGCCACTGAGCTCGTCGATCTCGGCCAGATCGGCATTCTCGTCAAAGTCGAGCGCTTCGGGGTCGTGCTCCTTCAGGAACTTGTAGAAGTCAGGATCCTTCTCGGCGAGCGCATCCATGGCGCTCTTCGACATGCCCAAATCCTCGTCCTCGCTCTCCTCCCCTTCACTTTCGCTCTCGCTCTCGCTGATGGGGTCATTGTCGGTGATGTCCGACTCAGAAACATCCGACTCGTTTTCGCTAAACTCCGACTTCTCCTCCTGCTCCTCAGCCTCAGCTTCGGGGTCACGTTTCCTCTTGCCCAGCTTAGCCGGCTTTTCTTTTTTCTTAGACTCTGACAAAATCTCAAAACCGCCTTTGAAGAAGTCATCGACGCTCATCTCGGCGGCCTTGTTGGGGCCGGGCTTCTTTTTGTCGGCGTCGCCATTGGGGCCCTTGTAGAACTCATCGTCGAGGGCGCGCTTGGCCTTCTCTTTTTCCTTAAGCTGCTGCCGCTGCTTGATCTTCTTTACCTTATTTCGCCGCTCTAACACACCCTTGAGGTGCTTCTTCTCGAACTTTTTTGTCGCTTTGAGGTTCTTTTTTGCTGTGCCCATGGTTGCGGTGCTGGCAATTACAATTGGTGATGATGGTATTCCAGCGGGCAGGTTGCTGCTGCGATTGATGTTCCGAACTTTTTTTTTTCCCCTACTGCGCGCCGGGCGGGTCTTATCGAGCGCTTATCGATAACATGCTAAGCCGATATTTGTCTTAGCTCAGCGCCAAGAGACCCCACTCCTTATCGTGCCCCTCCTCTTCTGTCGCTTATCGCGATAAGCTCTCGACCATCGTCATCTCGACGGCAACGGCAACGACGACAACCCATGGCCATGCGCCGTCGCCCGTCCGTCCCAAGATGATATCACGGCAGCCCTACGCGCCGACGCCGCACAGCTATGTCCCGAACACGACGCTGTCGGCGACCATCAACCTCGACGAGGTGTGTCATATATCCCCTTCCTTCAACCCCCTTCCAACACCGACTGGTCATCAGCTGAGTCCTGACTCCTCATGCGACAAACAGGAGGTAAAGCTCGCCGAGACGCGCGCCGAGCGCGACCTGCAAGAGTCGCTGGCCGAGCTCTTCAGCATAATTGTGACGATTGATGAGCTGGAGAAGGCCTTTTTGAAGGATGCCATCCCCGAGGCTGAGTATACTGAGATATGTGAGCGCTCGCTCAAGCAGTACAAGTCGCTGTTGGCAGATGAGACGGTTGCCAGGGCCTTTGGCGGGTTGGAGGAGTTTAAGGCGCAGTGGGACGTGCGTATCCCTTGGATATGGTGATTGCACAGTACTGACTGTAGTCCAACAGCTCGAAGTCCCCCGTGCGACGGAGCGCATCCGCGTCGGGATGCCCGCGACCGCCGTGACGGCCAGCTCCGGGCCTGCCACAGCCTCTACCGCGGCGGCGGCAAACACCAACGGCGCTCTGATCGTGGAAGCGACGCAAGATTTCATCACGTTCCTGGACGCGCTGAAGCTCGGCCTGCTGTCAAAGGACCAGCTCCACCCGCTGCTGACATACGTGATCCAGTCGGTCAACAAGGTGACGGACCGGGACTTTGAAAACCGGGGCAAGATCGTGCAGTGGCTGATCACGTTGAACCAGATGAAGGCGACGGAGGAGCTGAGCGAGGAGCAGGCGAGAGAGCTCGAGATGGACATCAATGCTGCATATCAGGGTTTCAAGAATTTACTCTCATGACTGGACGGTATTCCCTGTGCATTGTGACTTTTGTGTTTTTTTTTTGTTTGTTTGCTTGTTTGTTTGCGTTTTGTGCCTCCGTATGTGACGGTCTACACCAAAAATGTCCAAAAACTAGGGTATACCAACTCTTCCTCGAATATCCTCCTTACCTGCTCCAGCACAAACCTTTCCACTTTCCCGACATTCCTCAAGCTCTGCTTCCCGCTCACCCTCTCCCCAATCTCGCTCTCGACCCTTATCTCCTGCAACAGACCCCCTAACTTCGTGCCCCCAGTCCCCATGGGTGGAGGCGAGTTCGGCACCGACCTTCTTCTAACCTGCGGCCCTCCGCTCACCTCCTCCTCACTCCCACTTGATGAGTTCCCTCCTCCCCCGTTGGCACCGACAGCAATGACCGCATCCTCGGGACTTAGAAAACAGAAATGAACTCGCCTTCTGATCTTGGCTAACACACCCACGCCGTCGAAGGTTAGACCTGTGATGCTTAGTCGGACTGGGATGCCGACAAAGCTGGGCATGGGGTAGTCGAGCAGGATGTCGGCTGTGAGAAGGAGCTTCACATCCCCCGCGTAGCGTATGCGGAAGACAGCTTGGAGGTCGTCGACGCGGCGCTCGCGGAAGCGGGGTTGGGATCGGGGTTTGGGAGGGGGGGTTTGGGGTTGGGGTTGGGGTTGCTGCTGTTGTTTCGCTTGTTGTGGCGATGTTTGTGGTTGGGGTTGAGAAGAGGGTTTGGCGGTAGTAGGCTGGGAAGAGTAATTAGGGGGTTCCTCCTCATCGGAAATAGCAGACCCCATCAGCGCCGTCGCCGCATCCCTCGTCGGCGGGCCTGTATTCCCCGTTGCTGAGGCACCAACCGATGTAGGCGCCAGTGTTGAGACGCTGTGCTTTTCTTTTAGGGAATGTCCTGCCGACGGAGGAGGGCTGGTGCCGGACCTGCCTGCGGGCGATGGCGATGGGGGGCGAACTGCCACAGCGGGACTGATATCTCCTCCTACGGAGATCGAGCTCTGTGAATGGTTCCTATAGTGCACCGGCTCTTGAGGAGACTGGATAAAATGTGATCCGTAATGCTGGTGGATATTTGGCGATGAGGCGCTATGCCCGTGTCCCTCGAGCCAGGTGCCTAGGTGATGTGCGCCTGCTACCGCGGCCAGAGGTGTCTGCGTCCCTGATAGGCCGGTAAACTGCGGATGAAAGTAATGCAGGTTTGACGTCCCTCCCGGAATACCGGGGGTCGAGACTCGTAAAAACGGACTGCCCAGCTCCCCGTTCCTTGACCCCGGCAACCCGCCGTGTAACCCATAACTATACGGCGGCGGGTTTCCTGCTCTATTCAGAATTCCCGCTTCCCCAACCCTCCGTCGGCGTTCATCAGCGAAATGATTGGTATGCGCAGACGGAGGGCCAACATCTTCTTCGGGCTCTGAGTCTTCTGATGCTAGGTCTGAGTCGACATTGTCTTCGTAGAAGTCTGGCAACGGGTCGGTGATGTCTTTGAGCTCGATTTCGGGCGGTATAGTGCCGAACTGGAAGTCGTGGACTGTGACGGACTTGATGAAGCGTGGCAGGGGGATGGCTTGGAACTTGGTGTGGATGAAGTCGCGGATTTTGTTGGCGAGTTCCTGGCCGTCGGGACCGCCAGTGACGGTTTCCCAGTTTAGGTCGATGGACATTGATATGTGAGCCCAATCGGTGAGATAAAAGTTGTTGGACCCCGAGGTTAGGAGATTTTGGTTGAGCTGAGACTGAGTGTTGAGTGAGATGCGGTGGTGAAGTTACAAGCAATTGTGGGGCACCTTAAAGCTCATGAGTGGCGTAAAAACTTAAGAAGTCCTAGAAAGCTTTGATTCATCCTAGCATCACCGTAGGCAAGTAATTTAATTTGTATTTTTTTTTAGATTTATTCTCCAGAGTCAGCAGCCTTTTTTTTTTTGGCTAGAAAGCCTCTATGATCCTCTTAGCCAAACCAATTTACTCTTTCTCCAGATTGATCACCACATTCACCATATTCCTCTGGAGTAATCTCAGGTCAACTTTCCTAGGAAGTACACCACAGCTATATGATAACAATATATAGAAGAAGCCATTCTTGACGCATAGCATGCATATTATTCCCAAGGAAATAATATCCTATCTTTCATGCTCCCAATCATCAAGAAGAAGGACGAGCTCAAGGTAGTAATGCTGTAACCCTAACCCGCAAGATTGGCTGACGCATGAGCGGTGAGTCCGAGCTCCCGGCTCCAGCGTCGCTTGCCAAGACTCTCGATGCTCCATCGGTCTCCCAGGCAACGACACGTCAAGGCCAGCGATCAACAAGCCGGCTTTGACCTCTCCCCACTGCCTAATTCTTTTGCCCACCACCCGCCCAAACAAGCCGCTCCTGACGGGAAAACGCGCAGACCGGCTTGCCGAATCGGTCCGCATCTCAGGTTGCGATTGCAATTCCCCGCAGGTTCAGGCACTGATAGGATATAGTGCCTGTCTTTTTTTTTTTTTTGCTTTGGTTTACTCTTTATTGTTTTTCTTTTTGAGATCACCCCCCCCCTTTGCGTCGCATAAACACGACAGCCGACCTGTGATGGTTCTTCCATCACCACAGAAGCCAACAAAGAGAATGACACGAGCCCGCGCAGCAAATGTCTCGGAGCCCGCGACGGCTGCTCCCCCCAAGCGCGCTTCGACCGCCACTGCCCCGACCAAGGCCAGTACTGCACGCGCGAAAGCAACAATTACGTCAACAACATCAGTTACCAAGTCCACAACGATAACAACAACAATAACAGCAGCAGCAGCAACAGCAACAGCGTCAAAGAAACGTGCCCGCGCCGACGAAAGCGACGATGAACTCGACCAAGATGAACTCACTGCCACCCCAAAGCCTGCGGCCCTGAACGGCCGTGGCCGTGGTCGTCCTCGCAAAGTCATCATTACCGAGTCAGACCCCACGTCCGCGCCGCCGCCGCCACCGCCCGTCTCAGCGCCATCAACCCGGCAGCGCGGCAGACCGCGCAAGGTCGTCCAGGAGACTGGCACCGCGAAGACGACGATGACGACTACCCGCGCAACCACTCGTGTAGCTAAGCCTGCGCCCTCGACCACGCTGGATGTGAGCGAGCCGGCAGTTCACAGGACGGCTACCGCTCGTGGACGTGCCACTGGGGCGTCGACGGCTACGGCAATGACAGCTGCTGCGGCGGCAAGGGTCGCGGCGACGACGAGGCCGCAGACGGCTGCTGCTGCTGCCGTGAAATCGGCTCTCAAGAAAGCCGTCCGGTTTGTCGAGGAGCCGGAGAAGGAGAATTTCCTTCCTCCTCCTGCTGCTGCTGCTGTTGCTGCTGCTGCCACCGCGGCCGCAAGCAAGACATCGGGAAAGGGAACAACGGCTGCTGGCGCGGGGAGTCTGGCGACAAAGCCTGTGCGGAAGGGCGTCTCGGCTCGTGCTACCACGACCATGGCCACTACTGCCACGGCGACCAAAAAGACTGCTAGTGCGACCTCGCAGCAAGCAGCGCAAGGAAAGGATGGTGAGAAAGAAAAGCTCAAGCAGAAACCGAAGCCACTCAGCCCTAAGAAGGTCAACCAAATGACGCTGACGCTGAGCCGGATCGATTCGGATGATGAGCTCGGCATGGATGAGGTCAAACCCGTGGGCAATCTGAAGAAGATGCCTGTTAAGCCGGCTGTACGCGTGGCTAAGAAACCGATGCCAGCCGGAAAGGCTGCTGCGGCGGTTGATAGCTTGGACGATAGCATCGTTACTGCTACCCGTTCAGAGACCGAGGCACATCTGCTGCTCGCATCACCAGCTAAGAAGCTTCCCGCTCCTTCTCGTGCCACATCCAACAAGCGCGTTGGTTTCGATGCTGAAGACAAATTGGCGGCCAAGTCCCTTGATGCAATGGACCTTGACGACAACGCCGTCCCCAAGTCCTACGAGCCCGAAGCCAACCTTCTTCTAGCCTCCCCTGCAAAGCGTCTCCCCCTTCCCCCGTTTAAGGGAAACATCTCCTCCCCGGCAAAGCGCATCGAAGGTCTGGTTCGTGCTCCTCCCGAGCCCGAGATAGAGCAGAATACCCAGGCTGCAGCGGCACCTAAGCTGGGTCTACTCGCTACGCCCGCGAAGCGTCAGCCTCTCCGTTTGCATCCTGCTCCTACGCTAGAAAATGCTCCTGCCGCAGGGGTTCCCCCGCTGGGCACGACCCCACTGAAGAAGGGCTCTTCTCTGCTGGCGACCCCGGCCAGGAGGGGGTTTTCGCCTGTTAAGATGGGGACTGCTGCAGCCAAGCCTACAGTTGCGACGGAGGTTATCGCGGAGGAACCTGAAGAACAGGAACAGGACGAAGACCAACAGAACCCAGCGCAGCAGCTGGAGGAGGAAGAATACAAGTCAGTTATCCAGCGGAAAGAGCAAGAGAGTACCCGTCGCCAGACTAGGAGTTCGGCACGGGCCCTGCGTAAGGAGCAGGCTTATACGCCTGAAAAGATGGATGATAGTTTGGCCGGGGAGGGGGATGAGTCGGTTTTGGAGGAAAGAAGTGTCAGGAAGGGGAAGTCGACTGCGAGGTTACTGTTCCCGATTAGGTTGTCGCCGCCTAGGAGGGGGGTGGTGAGACCGCCTGTGGAGGAGGTTGAGATTGGGGAGAGCCCGATTGAGGAGAAGCCAATTGAGGAGACTCCTGAGGAGACCCCGGCTGATGAAGAGGCACCGGTCGAGGAGCAGCCGGTTGAAGAGCCCGCCGGGGAGGAGACCTCTGAGGAGGGGGAGGAGAAAGTCGGGGATGTTTCTACTGAGGAGCAACCTGTTGAGGAGCCCGCTGAGGAGGAAGCTGTTGAACAGCTGGCTGAAGAGGCTCCATTCGAGAAGGATTCTGAAGAGGAGACCCCGGACTTGGGACATGTCGAGCGGGAGCCTGAAGAGCCACCTGCCGAGCAGGCTCCCATTGAAGAGACGCCTGCTGAGAAAACCACTGCCGAACAGACTCCTGTTGTGGAGAACACTGTCGCGCAGGCTATCGAAGAGGAGGTCGCTGAACAAGTCGTCCCGCAGGCTGAGGATGATTCCCAGAAGACTGTCGTCGAGGACGGGCGTCCGGAAGAGCCCTCGGAGGATATCCCTGCTCAGGAGGAAACCGCTCACGAGGAAGCTCTCCAGGAAAATGTTGGCGAGGCTGTTCCTGAGGAGGCCTCAGTTGAGCAGGCCCCCGTTGAAGATGTCCTTGCCGAGGAGACTCCCGACGACAAGGTTTCTCCTGGGCTCCCGTCTGAGCAGTCCATCAACGATGCCCCTGTCGAAAACACTCCAATCGTGGAGGACGCCGTCAACGACTCCTCCGCCGAGACCATCGTCCTCGAACAGACCCAAGAAGAGCCCGTGGACGACGACGACGACGACGACGACGACGACGCTACCGAGGCAGCAACCGAGCAGAACGAACAGACCGAAATCATCGCGCCCTACTCGGAACCTACCCCCGCCGAAGGCGAACCCGAGACCGCGGAGCCCGGCAGCACAACCCCTCCCTGCTCCCCCCCTCAGAACCTCGGCTCTATGTTCGGCCTCCGCCAGAAAGATCTCGACCCCTACCCCGAGACGGACGACTCAGCTATGTCGATGGAGTCGCCTTGCAAAAATAAGCGGTCGTCTGCATTCAGCAAGCTGCCTGCGACGCCTAGGCCGGCGGCAGCTAAGCTGCCGAATGCGAACGCGAATGCGACTCCTGTTAGTATCCTGAAGAAACCACAGGCTAGTAGTGGGATTGGATTCACCCCGCTGGCGCAGCAGCTTGGTCAGTGGAGGGCGGGACCAAGTCCGTTGAAGAAGGTTGCGTTTGCTATTGAGTCTAGTCCTGCGCCAGCTGCTGAGCAGGAGGAGTCGGTAGTTGGGTGTGATCAGCCTGAGACGTCGATGGTCTCGATGGTCTCGCTGGGGGCGAGTGCCATTTTCAGGGAGGAAGCTGACTCGATGGATGTGGACGAACCTGTACGGGAGCCCCACGAAGACGCGATGGAGGTTGACGAGCAGCCTGCTCGCGCTGAAGACGGCGCCATGGACGTCGACTCCGACGCTACTACCGTCCTTGACGACGGCTGCCCCATCCTGGAAGACATCCCCTTCACCCGTGAGGATATGGACCTCATTGCCGAGGCGAACGAGATGTCCCTTCTCACCCGACCAACCTCTATCGCTGTTCACCACGACGACTCTGCCTCCTCCTCCACCTCGGGCACAAGCCAAGAGTACCCTGACGAGAACCAGGCCCCCGTTCCCCAAGCTGTCCTTGAACTTCCGGCTTCTGTGCAAAACTCACCTCGGGTTGCGGTTCCTCCTGTCACTCCCCAGCGTGTCTTCCGCAGGGAGGTGCACACCGTCTCGAAGGTGCCGCTCAAGCCCGCGGATGAGTCGACGCCGCCGGTGAGGGCGATGAGCGAAAGGCGCGCTAGGAGTGCGAATCGTGCGGCGGCTGCTGGACTGGGGACTACGCCGAGGTTGACAAGGTCGGCAGCTAGGGCTGCTGCTGCTGCAGCGGCGGCGGCGGCGGCAGCAGCAGCAGCAGCAGCAGTAGCAGCAGCACCAATGGCGACGGAGACCCCTTCTAATGCGGGTAGCCAGGCTGTGGAGGAACAAGTTGAGGTTGAGCAGCAGCAGCAGCAGCAGCAGCAGCAACAGCAACAGCAACAACAGCAACAGCAGGGGGAGGAGGAGCCCCAACAAGAGCAGACGCTCCCTCCAGTCACCCCTCAGAAGACAGACATTTGGACGGCCCTGGAGACGCCTGGAAGGACCCCCCGTCGTGACCTCAACCCTAACCTCCTCCGCGGAGCGGTTGTGTTTGTAGATGTGCACACTTCCGAAGGCGCCGACGCAAGCGGCATTTTTGTCGAGCTGCTCACACAAATGGGCGCGCGCTGCGTGAAGCAATGGTCCTGGAACCCCAATACCCCCACAGAGCCCGGCACCGAGACCAAATACGGCATCACGCACGTTGTGTACAAGGACGGCGGGAAGAGGACGCTGGAGAAGGTGCGCGAAGCGAACGGCGCCGTGCATTGTGTCGGGGTGAGCTGGGTGCTAGATTGTGAGCGGGAGAATCAGTGGCTGGATGAGGGGTTGTATGCGGTTGATACAAGCTTGGTGCCCCGGGGAGGAGCCAGGAGAAGAAAGAGTATGGAGCCGAGGGCGGTGGTGAATGTTGGAGGAGTTTTGGTACCTAGTCCGACGAAGGGCAGCAACAATACTCGGGCTCAGAGCCCGACAGCAGCGACGCCGACTACCCCCGTTAACAACGGCAGCAGTGGCAGGAGTGGCCGGAGAAGAAGCTCGCTTTGGGTGCGCACGCCGGAGGAGCAGTCCCCTTCTGCTGACGACAACAGCGTTGAGGAGGATGCCGAAAGCAACGACGCCGCGAGCCACAGCCCAACTAAGAATTTTAACACCCAGGATGACTACCTCACTAAACTCCTCGCCGCGCCCCTCACTCCCGCACCTAAAACCCCCGCCCCCGAGGCCATAGCCCGCTACGCCGCCGCCCTCACTCCCGGTCCGCTCTCCCCCTTCACCCCGTCTGCCATTTCTCCTGTAGGCTATCACTCGGACGGCGATGAGGACGAGGATGACGACCCCTTGACACTGGACAGCGAAAACTCCGGGCGGCATCTCTCGCGCGAGGATATACTCCTCAGAACGTGCCCTCCGAAAAGGACACAGTTTCTCGAGGAGCTAGGACCAGAAATCCTAAAGAGGGAGAAGGATGAACGCGTACTGATGAGGCTTGTTCAGGCGAGGAGGAAGAGTCTGCAGTTTCGACCTAGGGTGGGGAGTCCGTTGGCGAAGGCTTGGAAACCTGTTCAGTGAACGAAGAAGCATTATTGGTGATGTCATGGTGTGAAAGGTTAGACTTTTGTAGGGTTATTCTTAGCATTCAGTTCAGTGTTGGGGAAGTGTACCGGTATTGTCGATTCAGTAGCGGAGTATCGTTCTTGACTATTTGTGATCATAAAAAAAAAAAAAAGGGATGGGTCGATCGGGACTCTTGGATTCAGTTCAGGGTCGGGCGTTCTGAGGATGATAGTGTGTAGCCATTAATACCAAATGCTGATTTGTGCCATTGCTGTGTGATAGAAATACATGCCCAAGTGCGTTTTGATAGTCAAAACAAGTTCACACTGAAAAACTTTTTTTTTCTTCCCCTTGTCTGTCACCTCACAACCTCACATCAACAGCCTAACTCCACCAACGCCGTTGCCGTGTGTAGCTCTTAATGCCAACTAATGAATCTCATCCAGTCTCAGCCATGGCAGATGATCCTCCTGTATTGTATCCCAGCCCATAACCATCCACAGCAGGCATCAACTACACCCCAGCAAACGTCCTGCCCACAACATCCGACCCACAAACAGCTGTCTTCTGCCCCTCACTCAGACTCTGCCCCCAAAGCCGGAGGTCTTCTATCGAAGCATTCACCTCCGGTAACCCCCTCAACTCCAGCCTCTGCCTCTGCCCCCTTCCAACCAGCAGTAAATCCCCTTCACGATGCCCTCCGCTACCCCTCTTCAGCAGCGCCACGCGCAGCACAACCTCACTAACGGTGACTACGATGCTGACGACAATCAACACGATGATAATCACGGTGATGTTGCTCATCTTGGAGTCGGCGATGCTGTCGGCGAGGATGTCGGCCAGGTCGAGGAAGACGCGGCACCGCTCGTTGAGCACCTTGATGCGCTGGTCGATCTCGAGGTACTCGCGGATGGCAACGTAGAGGGGGTGTAGGGTCGGCTCGGAGTCCCAGAAGAAGTTGGGGACGTCGAGGATGTTGGAACCTGGGGAATAATCGTTAGCTTGGTTCGGATTGTACGGAGTGTTTGGGAAACCTACAGAGATTGATGTCTACCCGGCTCTTGAACAGTCTCCCCAGAATCTTGACAATCTCCCCCCGCGTCATGTTCAGATTCCCCGTCGTGGCGAGCGTCTTGGGCACGTGCTGCGCACTCAGCATTGTCTCGGACATCCTCTCCTCAAAGAAGCACAGCTTGGTACTCTGCGCGATGGCATGGCTGATCGTCAGCCGCACCATGTGGTCCGACCGCGGCAGCAGCGTAATCATGTCGTTGAACACGCGCGGCCGGTTGATATCAGCGCTGTACTCGAAGTGGAACTCCTCCGTCTCGACCTCCATGTCGCTCAGCGGGCAGTTAGCCAGCGACACGCCCATCTCGTTCTCCGCGAAGGTCAAGTCGGCCAGGATGTCCTTCTCTTGCATCTCGGAAAAGTTCCAGAACACCACGACGCCGTAGGAGAAGATAAACACCTCCCCAAAGTTCTTCGTATCCGCAATGATCCTCTTCAACGGCCGCTGCGGCTCCTCACCCTCCTCCCCTTTCCCCCTGCGATGCGGGATTTCTTCGAGTATAGTCACCTTCCCTGGACTACTCCCCAACGGGGCTCCATCCTCCCCGACCCCCATATGTTCATCTCTGTTCTCGCTCCGCTCGATCTCAATATCCAACAGCGTTTTGCCCGTCCCCGGCGTCCTCAACACCGGCCGGCTCCTCAGCCTGTACCCCTTATGCCCCGGCAGCAACGGCAGATGATACGCCACATACAAGCAGTCATCATACCTTTTCGTCTTCGCCTCGTGCCGCTTCTTCAAAAACTCTGCCGTCTGCTCCAGCTTGTACGCCTGCGCCGTACAATACGCCGTCACTCTCGCCACCTTCTGACTCCTCTCCACCTTGGGCAACCGCTCGGCATAACTCTTCCCTCTGATCCCGCCTCTTTTCCTCAACACATCCAACTCCTCATCCGTCAGCGGCCGCGCAAACTCCTCCTCCTCCTCCTCACTTCTCTGTTCCAGTCCCGTGCCCTCTTCATCCTCATCAAGCCCCTTTCCCCCATCCGTCTCCGGCAACAAAACCAGCTTCTCGCTCACCTTCGTCGTCCGCGAGGGCACATTCTGCTGCCCGGTTCGGGCAGACGCTAACGTCGGTAGCCCTCTACTTTCCCCCATACCCATACCCATACCCATACCCACGGAGGGTTGGCTCGGTCGCCTAATCAGCGCCCCCATCCGGGTAGTTTGTCTCTGTTGTGTGAGAAGATGAGAAGGAGGAGGCCCTCTAGGCTGGCCGGAGGGTATGTCGGAGGCATATTGAAGGACGTTGTCGACGGAGATGCGGGTGTTACGTGGGGCGGCGCCGGGCGCGGTTCTCTGGACCGCAGACGGGGACCGCGACGGGGGGTTAGAGGAGCGATCTTGAGGGCGCGAGCGGGCGTCTGTGAGGAGGACGGCTGGGGATTTCTTTGGTGGTTGGATGGACATTGTGACGAAGAGATTGGCGGATGGTGTTTGTTGTGTTTATTTTATCGTCAAGTTGTGGTGCATGATAACGATTCGATGGCTGGTCGTTTAGAGGGGATGAAGCTGATATATTCTATCGAGAAGGGCCCAATTGATGACGATACGGATGCAGTCAATAATTGTTGGAGTAAAGAACTGGCGGACTGGTGTCGTGCTGTGATGTTGATCTGTCGCCCTGGATCCTTGGAAGCTGGAATGGGTCCCGTCTGCAGCGGTTAGAACAGGCTAAGCGACGTCATCCCGCAGGCCCCACAAGTTTAGCGGTGGGTCTCGACTAACAGTGGAGAGAGAGAAAGTCAGCTACCAGCCGCCGTAATCTAACAGAAGGGTAACATCAAAGCTGTCCTCAAGAAAGATTGCGAGAGGACAACCTCAGGGGAAGCACCAATAAACTTCTAATCGCATATGTGAGAATTGCCAAACCTGATGTTGTGGTTTGTATGCGGTAGGTAAAGGGGAAAGATCAGTCATGGGATACACGGAGAATCAGTTGAAAAGCTGTTACGGATGACTTTTTTTTTGTTTGTTTTTTCACTTGGAATGCATAGCCTTAGGAAGCTGACGCAGAATCAAGAGCTCCTCCAGACTCGGCACGAGACAGTAGAATTAAAAATCAAATCGTAAACAGTAAACAAACAATCCTCTAGCGCTCATAGGTAATACGTACCAAAAAAGCGACTAAGCGATCGCCAACCCAGCCCAAACAGCCCAGTCCAGAGTCCTAAAACACCAAACGCCAAAAGTGAACAACCCTCCCCAGCAAATACCCAACAAGTCCTCCAACACTCAAACCCATCCCCTCCTCACCCATTATTTCCCCCATGGCAGTATCAGCCATACCTCATTTGATCAGGTTTCGGCGGCGGCCCTCCATACCCCCAGCCCTGCGGCGGCCCCATAGGCGGCGGGTGCATCGGCATCGCCTGTCCTGGCACTGCACCTGACGCCGCCGCTCCTCCTCGCATGGCCTGCACGTCGGGACGGTGTGAGAGCGGCTGCTCAAAGCCGCAGATGCGGCAGGACACGTCTTCGTAGCCTTTTATTGAGAGGGGGAGGACGGGCTGAACGACGCGCTGTTAGCTTACTGCCGTTGACAGGTCGGGGAAAGGGGGAAGGGCAAGGTTAGGGAGGGAGAGAGACGTACAATGAAGCAAAACGTAAACCACGGATGCGAGCGCACAACTGACGCGGCATAGTTACCGCAGTTGTAGCAGCGGCAGACGAGGCCCTCGTAGCCTTCGACCTGCTTGCGGAAGGTGTGCTCGCCGCAGGTGAAGACAATGCACATCTTATCAGCTTAAGAGACTGGCTGTTGACCGCGACCGATGTTGGCTCTAACAGTTCGCGCGCATGCAATTTGAAGCGATTATCGCAATGGGTAATCAAGTATAAGTCGCTGAGCGGTTGAGAAGCTGAAAACGATGTCCTGAGAAGAACTAGGCAGGCACACAAGGCGCAGTGAGGTCGCAAGTGAAGGAAAGTGAGCGAAAAGAGAACGAAGTCAGATGACGCAAACAGGCCGGAAAAGAAGCGAAGCTGCCCTGTCGCCCAGCGCCCGGGGAGACCGACGCAGGGACAGCGCCTACTGTGTAAGTTACGCCAAGATTGCCAGTAATTACGGTGGACCCCATAAGAAGCTTTGTGGTTCGAGATACAAGAGACGAAGGCGTTTCATGAGGTTACCAGGAACAGCCCTACGCAACGTAGCCTCCTCCTCACGTAATGCTGTTAGCCTACCTGGTTGCCTCCCGGACAGATACAGACGCAAGCACTAAGCCTCAACTTGCTGCAGTTTTACGATTCAGTCATCCAAAGAGTGATATATGGTTCATTTGGTACGGTACGTGTAAGCCATTGAAAGCTCCTCTCGGACCGCGATACAAAGTCGCAAGCGAAGAAGGGGGAATGTCGCAGAATTAAAAGAAGACAAGAAGATATCAAGTTGTTGTTGTAGAATATCACCTTGTATCCCTACAAGTTGGAATGGGCCCAAACGGTTCCGAAACAGAGGGTTACCTTGGTGCTTGCTGTTGAGTGACCTGACCGGCAGCGATTCATCGCGTCCGACTAGTTAGGTCGATAGGTTCCTTTGAGCTTGGCGTCCCACCTCCTGGAACCACTCTCAATCCTGCCGTTAGAGAGCACACAGGCATTCCGGACCCACCTAGTTAGTTCTATTACGCCACCAAGCTTCATCTATCTACACAAAGCCCTCCCGACTATCCTTACGACATCAAGTTCTAAAGCCTATAGGTAAGATTGTGACACACGACTGTACATACTAGGCCTCGAACGGCAGTCATCTCTCGGACATAAGGAGCTATGCGGCCTTTCGGAGAGCCTGATAAGGAGCCTCGTAACTCGTGGGTATTGGGCGGCAAGCCGAAGCCAATAGTAAGATTATGGGGGTCTGGCAGCTTCAGGACTGGGTTAATGCCTCTCTCACGAATCGGAGCACAAAGACTCTGCAGCGGGCATGGAAGCATGTTAAGCCTACGAACAACCTGGCCCCGCATTGTCATCATGTCATATTGGTTGGGTATACATCAGACAGTCCTCTGAACGGCCCCCTAGCTTCAGGGTCTACAGCCAAATGCCTGAAAGACGCTTTGGTTGACAAACCTGCGGGAGCCCTTCGAATTATCTGTTCATATTGGTTTCTGCGGTTACATTCTTGCCTCCTGACGGAGGACATCTCTCGCACAATCGCCTAACAGCGATGGGCTCTTTTCAGCATCATAATATCTTTGTAAACATCCTTTGTCATCAGACCCTCTCAAGTACTGCTCTGCTATATTTGAGTATACTCTCACAAAGGCATCACTGGTATCATCATGGTTGATCCTACCGGTATTATCGGCGTCATCGACGTGGCCGGCTAAATTATCCAGTATATCTTTAAGTTTTGTTACAACTGGAAAGAGGTTAAAGAGGAGGCCGAAAGTCTCATTCAGGAAGTACGAGCCCTCAAGACCACCATACAAAATGTCCATGATCTTTTCTCAGACCCTGATTTTGCAAACGCCTTCGAAGACATATCTTCGGCATTGCTATCTAGACGTAATCCCCTGCCCGATACAGACTCTACTGACACGGGCTAAGATGAAAACGACTCGGGCGAGCTGGAGCTGGATATCAACTCACTCTTACCTACCTGTGTGAAGATGAGTTGAAACGTTTACTCTCCGAGTTGAAAAGGCTGGCAGGCGGTCGTAGGTTTGGATGGGAGCGCCTCAAAGGCTGCACTTGTTGGCAGGAAAGCGCGCGAAGCTGTCGAACACCTCCATCAACAATGCCAAACCTTGATTTCGCTTCTCGAATTTGACCAGCTTAAACTTCAAAAGAAGACTTTAGAAGAGGCAATCGAGGCCAGAACAGATCAGAACCGAAATCATCAGGTCCAGATTCAGAAGCTTCAGTCTAATGAGCAACGGACGGATGGGATCGAATCGGGCGTCAATGCCGTTATTTCACAGACACATACTGCTGAAGCTCGACAAAATCACGAAGAAATCTTTGAGTGGCTCTCTTCAGTGGACTATTCGTCACAACAAGCCGACTCTCTACGCCAAAGACAAGAAGGTACAGGACAGTGGTTCCTCGAATCTCCTCAGTTCCAAGAATGGTAAAGTCCTGGTTTCCTTCATACCTGTCTTATTCCTATTTCTTCTCTTGCTAATCAGTCCGCCAGGCTGTCAAGGAGGCTAGTGACTCTCTTCTGCCCCGGTATACCTGGTGCTGGGAAGACCATCCTTGTATCGATCGCTATCGATTATCTCCAAAGGCGATTAGGAGATTGTGACGTTGGCATCGCATACCTATACCATAACTTCCGACGCGTAGACGACCAAACCGTGGAGCAGCTCATTGCAAATCTCCTAAATCAACTGCTCAGGAACAAGTTTCCACCGCCACCCGCAGTCATGGATGCTTGTACTTGAAACGAGAAGTACGGATCATGGCTAACGTTGACGGATTTCGAGAAGATGTTCCATGCTGTTGCCGCACTGTACAAGGATATAGGGGTCTTCGTTATTGTTGATGCGCTGGACGAGTGCCAAATGAGAGACAATGTTCGTTTCAAGTTCAGTGAGACGCTTCTGCGCCTTCATGCCAGGGGAACTAATATCAACCTCCTGGCCACGTCTCGCCCTGTACCTGATATTGTGGAAGCCTTTGATGGGCACTCCCGCCTCGAGATCGTGGCCCAAAAGGACGACATCGAGCGATACATACGCAATCGGATGCCCACTTTGCGCGCGGTTTCAAAGTGCCCGGACCTCCAACATGAACTCATCATCTGTATTGCCAGTGTCGCAGATGGCATGTAAGTTATCAGTGTTCCATCAGCCATGGGCCATTTATTCAATTGAGCTTATGCTTACTTACAAGTTTAGGTTCCTACTCTCTCACCTCTTCTTCGAGTCTTTGAAGGATAAAGTTAGCGCAAAACTTATCCGTGAAACATTGAAGGAGCTTCAAAATGATTCACAAGAAAAGGAGCCAAAGCTTGCCCTATTACGCCGGGCATATGACAAGGCAATGGAGCGAATCAATGAACAACCAGCTGGATTCAAGGCGCTTGCCAACCATGTGCTATCTTGGATCATCTGCGCTAAACGTCCTCTCAAAACGATAGAGGTTCAGTATGCATGGGCTGTCAAGGACAGTGAGGATGACGAGCTTGATATAACCGCGATTCCGGATGTCGAAGACATGCTTTCGGCATGCTGCGGACACGTTGTCATTGACAAAGAAAGCGAAATCATTTGACTTGTCCACCATACAGTTCAGGAATATTTCCAGGTTACTTTGACTCGGTGGTTTCCGAACGCTCACAAGACATCGAAAGTACCTATGTATCATACCTTTTGTTTAAGTACTTTTCAGGTGGCCCTGTCAGGACATATCCGGAAGCGCTTGAACGACTTGAAAAGCCTCTCTTCACCTATGCTGTTGACTACTGGGGTTATCATGCATCTGCGTGTTCAGCCTGCAGTCCTAAGCTGCTTGACCTATTGACAAATCCGGAATGGGTCAGCATGGTAGTACAACTTTGTGCCAGGTTTTCCCGGATCAGAGGGCCTTGGATCCCTAATAATCAATATTTGTGTTCGACCTTCTTCAGGCCATCTCACAATGCATTTCACATAGTTGGTTCCTACGGGCTCAACAATCTAGTCAAAGAGCTCCTTACTAGCGCCAAGGATATTGATCCTGATCAGCAAGATCATCGAGGTCAAACGCCACTGAGTTACGCTGCACAGAATGGCCATACTGAAATTGTTAAAGCTCCGTTATCTGATGGCCGAGTTGATCCACACCGACAAGACAAGCGGGGGAAATCGCCGCTAAGTTGGATTGCAGCGAATGAACGTGAGATTATTAAGAGCTCTCCTATACGATAGCCTAGTTAGATCATCGGATAGTCAAGACTAGACTGAGATCGGCATCATTTTTTTGGATATTACTTAGTTATCTAATTCATACAACTCTCGTATATATATGGCATTCCCTTGCTCTTCCCTTCCGAGCTCTGCACTGTCTCGCTCGTAATCATGTTTCTATGATGTTCGGAGAGCAGATTGATACCTTGATTCTCTGAAGGGAAATTTATTATCGCAAACGTTGTGTCCAATCTCATAAACAAATTTGTAATCTATACTCTTTGTAGCTAGATATTGACTTATTAGTAGTTTGAAGGATATTGTGCTATCTTCCTACACGAAGCTGGCTCTGAGCGAAGTGTAGCATGGGAAGCAGGTTCCCAGTGAGATAGGCTGAGATCTCGATGAGATAGAATGCCAGCTGTGATCATTCCATGGCCTTCTGAAATGGGCTCAAAGGTACTTGCCAGGCCATGAATCGAAGTGACAGAGTTTCTCACACGGGATGCTTAACACTGTAGTCATCAGTTGGGATACTGGGATAAGCAGCTGTTCGTATTGCTGACTGAGGAGTCCTTCATGGACATAATCTAGCGTGTTACTAGCCATATCCTTATATACACGATGATGATCATTCTCCTCTGGTGATTGTTACTGTTCTCTAGGTAATTCTCACCTGTGTAGTCAATTATCACTCTCAACTGGGTGATTATAAAACGCGGCATGCATGACTGTTTCCTGATTGGCCAGTTTCCTCTATGCCTTTCTGCCTTATAACTTAGGCCTTCATTCATATGCCTTGTTTACAACGCAACGTAATAAAAAATATTTCGGATTATGTAAGCTAAAGATTTGCAAAAAAAAGAAAGAAAAAAAGCGTGCTTTCTAGAGAAACCGTGACGATTCCACAACCTCCTGAGATGGGTTCGAGGGTAGTGGCCAGGCACCAGGCGTGGGATCACGGGCTCTTTTCAAAAGGGTTAGGGTTAAATGCAAGGCAAAACTCAATCTTTTTGCAAAAGCGATCCAAGCTTTCAACTCCAAAAAAATGTCACCAAGGTCCAACACGCGCCAATCGACACATCTTTCTAGCAACTCTCAATCAACCGTGCATACGACACCAATCCCTCTCTCTCACTGCGAATACCAAAGGAAAAGACTACTATCCTCCATGCTCTACGACCTCAATATCGCCTGGTCTCCAGGCATGCCCCTTTCCGACCTCGAGCGCACCCTCACCTTTGCCAAACACCTAGGCTACGATGTCGTCGCCATAAACCACACCATCTCCGGCCCCATCCCAACGCAACCAGGCCCCATTCCCAACCCCATCCCCCAACTCACGCCCCCACACCCCTCGTATCCCGGCGGGTCATCGTCAACAACAACTAACCTCTCCACCACCGCGCCCTCCGTCCTCCCCCCTTCCTCTCGATCAAATGCAGCATCTAACCTCCCCACAACCCTCCGCCGTGTAACATTAGTGATCACAGACCCCTCCACAACAAACTACCGCCTCCCCGACTACACCCGGTCCTACGACCTTCTCGCCGTCCGGCCAACAACAGAGAAAGCCTTCTCCTGGGCCTGCTTGCAAACCACCGAGCCCCCCGCCCTGATATCTCTGGATCTGAGCACCCATCTAGGATGGCACATCCACCACCGGACGGCAATGGCCGCCGTAGGGAGGGGGAGTCGGTTTGAGGTTTGCTATAGCCAAGTTTTGAGCCCGAGCCCTACGGGAATGGATGCGCAAAGGGCGCGGGCAAACTTCATTGGGAATTTACAATCCCTTTTGCGCGCCACAAAAGGGAGGGGAATAGTAATAAGCAGCGAAGCGCGGAACGCCCTTGGGCTACGCGCGCCGGCGGACGTGGTCAACTTGCTCGCCGTATGGGGATTAGGTCCGGAGAAGGGGATGGCAGGGATGAGGGAGGGGGCGAGGGGGGTTGTGGTGAATGAAGGGGTCAAGAGGAGGGGGTTTAGGGGGGTTGTGGATATTGTTAGGCCGGCGGAGGGGGGAGAGCAGCAACAGCAACATGGATTGAAGAGGAAGAGTGGTGAAGGAGAGAATAAAGGGGGAGCGGGGGAGAGCGCCGCGGGGATGAGTAAGAAGCAGTTGAAGAGGATGAGGAAGGAAGCGAGGGAGAGGGAAAAACAGGATCAAGGTCAGGAGAAAGCTTCCAGTTAAGGGAGGTTAAGCAAGTAGTATTATATTCTCTTTGTTCTTGGACTACAAAGGTGCTGGCAGGACAGGGTCAGGTTCGAGGTTGCTGAGGAGCATGTTTGTTTGATCATCAGTGTAACTTGTTTTTTTTTTTTTTTTTTTTTTTAGTTGCATCGAGGCTTACGGACGGCGGTTGGCATCATGATACCCACAAAAAGAAATAGATCGGGCCATTGAAAGGGAAAAGAAACAGAAGGGTGATAGAGCTAGCTCTCTGGTTTTTCATTTCTTTTTCTTTGAAAAAAAAAAAAAAAACTCTAAACCCCCCAGTTAACCCGGGAGACAGGCTAACACATAAAGCTGACTATATACATTAATTCAGCACTGTCTCCTGTGCAGTTCGTACTAACATCTCAAAAAAAAATGAAAGGTATCCAGCCACTACAGAAAATCACACAATAAGAAGGGTATATAATAAGCACAACATAATATGTTCAGTCAGCAACTCCTTTTGTCATCGTTGTTGTTACATCCAACTCCTCCTACCATACTGTCTGTAGTCCTCTCCCCTAAAACCCTCTTAATTTACAACGTTTCACGCAGCTGGACTCGCGGTAGGCTGGACCAAATTCCCCAAATTCAACTGGCTTGACAGCGTCAGCGTGCTCACATCAATTGTCGGCACCGGCGCTGCCACGCCTCCATTGGCAATTGCCGGCGTCGTCGCGCTCGCGGGCGCCTTAGCCACCGGTGTTCCGGCAGACTGGCTCGGGATTAACCCCACCACGCCGCCGAACGCCCCACCGGGGTTGAGAATCGCCGTCGGGACGGCGAGGTTCGCGGTAGAGGTGCTGTCGACTGCGATGGTGGTAGTCAGGGAGCTGCCGCCGCCGGGGAGGGGCTCCAAAGTTGAGGTGCTGGAAAGGGAAGTCGTTTCGGAGACAGGGGCTTCGACGATGGGCGGGGAGGTTGGGGTTTCGGTGGGTGTTGTTGCCGATTCAGTAGTGGAGGTGAGGGTCGAGCTGTCGGTTTCGGATGTGGTAGTTTCCGTCGGCAGCGGTTGCAGGCTGGTGGCTGAGTCTGTCACGGTGGCGGTGGTGTCGGTAGGGAGGGGAGCGAGCGTGCTGCCTTCGCTAGAGGTGACAGCCGTGTCGGTCGACGTAGCCAAGGTATCAGTCGAAGTCTCCGTCGCGGAAATGACTGTCTCTGACGTCGTCGTTGCTGGGGGATTCTGCACGAGGCTGGTCCGGATGGCATCCGAGGGGAGAGGAATCAAGATAACCCCGACACCGCCAGTCGGAATGACGACGGGGACGCCGCCAGGAATGGCCGTGGCGGAAACGGAGATGTCTGTTGCCGTGCCGATAGCGCCGTTGGCGTTGTCGGGGAAGACAGTAACGGTTGAGGCGGGTGCAGTCACGGTCACCGTGACGGTTTGGCCGTTGCCGCCGCGGACGCGGCCGAAGAGGTTGAGGAAGCCATCGGCGAGGTTGAAGGAGGCGGATGGATTGGCCTCATTTTGGCGAGGGAGCACAGCACCCTGAAATCAAATCAGAAGATGTTCAAAGGCCTTTGGTCGAGGGAAAGCTTACCTGAACCAGGGAGGTGGAGGTCAGAAGGAGAGGGAGATAAGGCACATGGGGCCTCATTTTCTCGATTTTCTAAGCCGGAGACAGACAGATCCTTCAAATGAACGTCCGAATTTGCAAAAATAATATTTTTTTTCTGTTGAAAGTAGAACCGGCCAGCCGTTCTGAAAAGCACAAAAAAAAAGTCTGAAGATTCGTCGAGTCGAATCGTTCGAAGGAGGCAAACTCTTCAGGGATTACGTGGGTGATCTTTCAATGAGACTCGGTGGCGAACTCGTGGAGACGCGTTTAGAAGAGAAGGCCAGCACTGCTGTTCTTGACGAAGAACAAAAAAAAAGGCTTGGGTATCGACAGTGTCGAACCTCAAGTAAAGAAACGAAAGGGAAAGGTAAGTGTGCTGACGAAAGAACGACAACCGCGTTGAAGCCAGCTAGTCAGGACCAAACCGCCACGATCTGCAGAAGAAAAGGAGAAGAGAGAAGAAACAAGACGGCTCCAAGACGGGATCAAAGTATTTTGCACTTTCTGGACAACCGCCAGGGGAGCATGGAGCAGTTGAGGAACAAAACCTAAGCCGCGCAAGCCAGCGGGCGATGCATGTTTCAACTTCAACATAGCGCCATCGTTCTCTACCCTCGCACCGTTGCATCATACTTTCCAGCACCGTTCTCGATGCCCGCCACGGGCAGCGCTTGCATAGCCAAACCATCAATTGTCAGGGAGATCAGTCTTATGCAGGTCTGGGCGGCGATCCTGGGCTGATTTAGGACTCTTCTCGGCGGTAGTTCATGGTATGTAGGGTAGTATACAAAAAGACTCGGCGGTGGTGAGCACCCCGGTGACTCTGGGTCGGGGCTACCCCCGGTTACCGTAAACCGGGGGGTGAGACGGACCCCAGACGGATCGTGTCGGAGATCGTGGCCGGGGTCTAAGCGACACAATACCTGGCCCACGCGGCCACTCCCCGCGGCTCACTGGTCGGCACGTCAAAAGGAGCTTTGGTTGATGGGATGGATCTCGGAAAAAGAGATCAAATCAAGGTTCGGTTGCTAGGCTCCATCTTGTCCATGATGGCACCCAATAGGGGCTGTTTTAAAAGGGATTGTTTCTTGTCGAGTGGCTAGCCTGCGAGGGCTGATGCACCAGCTGCCGCCGGTAGTTTGTTTGAAACATTTTACAAAAAGTTTGGCAGCCTTTCATACGCGCGCATGTCCTTTCAGGAAAGCTCAACTTCAGATGAGGGTTTTGTGATGCGAAATTGTGGTCATGGCGTGCGACTTACACTCTACGCCGCACAGCTGAACTTTCATCTGAAAGTTGCTGAAATGATTTGGAATTTATACCGAGCACGGTTGAAGGTGAACTAGTCGATGAAAGGATTGTCAGAAACACTTGATGGTGATGCTTCAAGATACAACGTCGAAAACAGAAGAGCTTGGTCTTGATCCGAGGTCAAAGTCACGTGACTCTATGGAACCCCTGAACAGAAAAACCCCAGCAGCAAAGGTTCGGCCACGAGGTGATCGACGCCGAAGTCGATCCTCAAAGCCGCCCACAGCAGGAGTTCATGAATGGGAGACGATGCTGTTAATGTACCAATTATATCTGCCGTTGTTTAATTCCGCTTTAACTTCTGATCATTTTCATTTTTTCAGAATTTTAACGCTACCATTATTATACGCGAAATCCAAAGTATGCAAAATCTACGAAAAAAAAGAAAAAAAAAAACTTTTAGACAACCCTGAACGAGAAACCATGACATACAGGAACTCAGAATCTCAGAGCTGTTTTTGACTTACTTTTTGCAGCCAACGTCACCGCCAAAATGCATCTGCATCTCAGCTCCCAAAGTCCCAGTTATCCCCGTTGAAAAGATACCCAGTCGTAACCCCTACGTTTAGGACCAACTCACCGATCCACAATTCCACATCTCTCAATCACCCCGCTAATTCCCCCGGCGTATCATGCCCGTCACTGGAGCTCCCATAATCCGTTGTCTGGTCGGAATACTCGCTATAGCTCTTGGAATCTTCCGGGATTGGCACCATGGCTGATTTTGTCCTGTTTTGTGTCAATAAATGTTGATTCAGGACTCTGTGCACTCGAGATAGACGGACCAGATATGAATGGCCTTTGACCAATCCAATCCTTCAATGCATCCTCCCTTGACGGCCACGACGTTCTTGGGCTGTGTGTGGAGGGGCCTACTGTCAGTATGAGTTAAGGCAAGCTTATGAAGGAGTAGAACTCACTGGCATCGTGTGGATTAACCGCGTCCCGCAGTTCTTACAGAAGTAACTTTCCCCCCCCCCCCAACCATCAGCTCCATCTCATCCCATTACCCCCTCAAGTGTGTCGTCTCAACAACTCACCAGTAAAGCGTCTGCCCATTTGAAGTCGGCCTCCTACACAAAGTCTCCAGTCAGTCCACTGTCTCAACCGTCAAATCTACAAACCAGTCGACACAAACTTTGGACCTAAACGTACCTGTAACAGCTCAACAGCTCCGCATCCGGCAATTGGAATCGAGGATAGATGGCCGACATGCCAAACGCCGAACTGGTCTGTCGCTGACAGTCGCTGCAGTGGCAGATGTAGAGGGCTAGGGGCTTCTCAGTCGGCGTTTTGAACCTGACGGCGCCGCACTGACAGGCTGCTTCCATGGTGAATGTCTTTTCTTTGTCTGGAGAACACTTGAGTTGGGGGTTAAGTTTGCTGTGTTGGACGAACAGCCGGATTTATGCCGATTTGTAAGCCTTAGTTCGTTGTCACTTAGATCGGATGTGTCTAGTCAACAACCCCGCGACATGAGCTCAGCTCGATGATGATATCAATCACGCCCCAACCGGGTCACGACGGCTTTCAGCGGCAACTTTTTGCAAGCCACAATCACTTTTGATCTGGCAATGGGCGTACGAAGCGAGTCTGTTGTGCGGCTTGAGATGCTCTCAGGCCCCGATTACGGAGTGTCTAGGAGTACTGGCCATGCAAGTCAGACCAACGGGAAAGCTAACGACCATACATGGAAGCCAATTAGTTACTTTCTAGAATACTTACACAGCTGCAAGCAGAACCACCCAATTGAATTGGAACTGACTGCAAGCCTCAGGCAAGAAAAAGGTTTGGGAGAGAAGACCGTTCTTCGAACCTGACTACTTAGGCAGCGACTTGGCCACTTTATACTCCTTTTTGCGTGGTGGTCATCGCGCCCGGTGACTCATTCAAACCAATTGTTTACATGAACTTTTCACACTTGCATCGCGTAGTCACCTGACTTCGCCTGTCTAAGAAATTGAACTTCGGAACCTCCGCGTCGTAGACCTACGTATTTCCGAGGCGTCATCTGCATGGTCTACGCAGAAGAGTTGCTGCCTGGTCATCTGAAGATCGATGGGGACAATATCCTCCAAGTGATTGGACATGACATACGCACTTCAAGCCATTCCTCAGAACCGATTAACCTTTTACATGCAGATCTTCCTTTCCTCGTTAGAGTAGTACCTTGCAACCAGCCAGTGGGCTCTGCTCTATTACTTACCATTATGTGTTCCAAGAATCAATAAAACCCCAAGCTGCATGAGACGCTCCGGGTCTGAGCGCCGGCATGAGGATGCCCACTTTCGTACTTCCGGCTCCGATCCGATGTTGCGCCGACGACTCGACGACAGGATGTCGGCCCGGTTCCCGACTCCGATATTGGCTCCGAACGGCCCGCACAAAACCGACGGAGACCGATGGGCTGAAGAGGTAGGGGGGGGGGGGGAGATCAAGGATGTGACGCGTTGATAAGACTAGATGATAAAGGAGGAGGACTATCAGCAAGACAAGACTATTATTACTTACTACATGGCCCTAAGGTATGTATGTAGAGCCATATGCCCATCGAGCCTAGGTATCTCTCTACACCATATGACAAGAACTTGACCTCTCTCTCATCAGATAACAGGGTATAGAAAACCGAACCGGACCACTTGCAAAAGCCAAATCATGATGACATGACAGACCTTACACATCACCCAACTCAGCCAAATCACGTCAGAATACCTCCCATCCCTTCACTATATCCCAACCTAACCCATCTTACTCCCCCCCCCCTTCCCTAAGCCGGCAAAACACTTCCCTCCCTCTTCTGCTTCCCCTCCTCCTCCAAACAGACCCCCTCGACCTTCCTCGCAAAATTCACCATCGGCGCGTCCACCCCTCGCCAAAACACATCCGCCGCCCACACCACCCAAACCCCCATTACCCCCAACCCAATCACCCACGCGACCGTAATTTGCCCCGCCGTCTCGACCCCCACCAACCCCTTCACCCCCGTCCCAGCGATAGCCGGCTTCCACCCGGGCGAACCTATCTCCCCCACAGCCGGCCGCCCCGGGTGTCCGATAAGTCTAGCCTTGAGGAGGTCCTCGACCGCGCCATGCACGATATACACCGCGTAGGAGATACGCCCCGCGTACTGAGCGAGAGGGGATTCGAAGGCCTTTCGGAGGGGGTCGATGTCGCCTATGCACCAGACGATTGCGATGGCGGAGAGCCCGAACCAGAATTTTTGTGGTGCCAGTGGATGAACGGTGGGGGCAAATGGACGGGGGGTTTGCGAGAGGAAGTAGCGGATTCCCGGGGTCTTATCGGCGTCGCGGTTGGGCCAGCCTGCGATGAAGAGGGATGTGGCGAGGAGGAGGGTTTGGAAGGTGCGTTTGAGGAGGTGGGAGGTCGAGGTTGAAGAAGGGGCATTGTTCTCCCAGGTTTTTTGGGCGTCAGATTGGCAGGCGGACCGGAGGATGTGCCACTCGGCCAGTAACATGCCGGAGAGGAACTCGAAAGCAGCCCACTTCCCGCAGGTCATGCAGTAGAGGATCAGGCCAAAGACGGCAGCCATGCGGATACCCTGGCGCACGCGGGAGAGCATCAAGACGACAATAAAGAGCAGCATCGAGTGCGCGAACTCGATCGGGATTGTCCACAGATGGACATCATAGTCCGGGCGAAGATCTTTATCCCACGACCAGGGCCAGGTAATTTGATGGTGAACAGCGCGCCGCCAGTGCCGAAATTGCAGTGTCCAGCTCTCTTCCGGCTTGCGGATGTAGCCCAGCTGGCGGAGACACATGATGATGAAGGTTGAAACGATACACGGGCCAAAGAGTCGGAACGGCCGGCGGAAGGTAGACGACGCCAAAGCGGTGTAGCACTTCTCTGGGTTCCGGGCATGCAGAGCCTGTAGGGGCTTCAGGGAAAGGGCAAAGCCCGAGATGACAAAGAAGATGTGGACCATGGGGCGGCCGGAGAAAATGACGCGGAAGTAGGGGAGCTGGACGAAGGACGAGGTCTTGTCCTCGCCGTTTAGGCCATAGGATTTGGTCAGATAGCTAAAGTTGTTTTCCGTGAAATGGCAGATGAAGACGATGAAGGCCGCGATCCCGCGCAGGCCGTCCAGATAGGAGGTAGAGTGCAGCTTCCATGTCGGCTTGTGCTCTGGGAAGAGGTAGTCCGCGACGAAGCTAGGAAGAAGGGCCCGGAGGATGCGGGCGAAGGTTTGGTGGTGCGCCAGGAAGCGGTGCAACCCCGAGCCAGGGGATGACTGAAAAGCTGGGAGCAGCATTTTGCTGTTACGAGATGTTCCAGGAAGAGGTAACGAATGGACAGAAGCTCGAGTGAGTCTTCAGAGGACCAAAGAGCTAAGAGAATGTCTGTTGCATTTGCAGAGCTTCCTGGATAGCGGTCAGCATGGTTTCTCGAATATATATATATAAGCCATGACAAAACGCGAAGATATCGTATGCCTCGCCTAAGCCAGCTATTGTGTCTTCCCTGACAAGCGAGGAAGGTCAAGATAGTTGTGACACTCGACCAAGCTTGTATTGCTTCTGGACCGCACGTGGCCAAGGACATTATGGCTTCGTAGTCGAGACATATGGACTTATCCTGGAAACATCAACCGTGACACTCACCTTTTGATCACTAGGAAGGCCGGGCTAAATATGAACTACGGCGAAACAAGATACTGTTGAGAACCTAGATGAAACTTAGCGAGTGGACGGACAGAAGAATGACAACGAAAAACCACGACGCAAAGGTGGAGTGTAAACGGAAGAGAAGATAAAAGATGGATGGATGGATGAAAGTATTCCAAGAAAACCATCGAACCCCTTGACCAGATCTAGTACGGATCATCCTCTCGCCGACCACCTGCGCTCAGCGTTACAGTATGTACATACGAATGCAAGGCTAGGATCATCCAGATGCACATCGATCGACTTCTGGGCCCTGTCTGTGCAAATCCAGACTCCCCGAAGAAAACCTGGAACAACCAAAAAAAAAAAAAGAGAACCACACTGTGTAGTAATGCTCCAAGCTAAATGGGTTCGAACCCTGTCTGCTCTGCACGCGAAGCTGTGTATCGCGAATCGTGATGGATATTAGGTATGGAGGGAGAGACAGTATTCGTAAGGTAAACAGTAAACCGTATACCGTACCATGTGCCAGAAAATGAGATGGATGCCGACTGAAACTCGGTACGTCGCGTTGCAGTGGGCGGATGTTGTGTGGTGACAGGCACCACCTATCCGTTTGGAGCATGCACACTACCGAGCAGTGCTGCGTAGCCACCGAAGCGAGGCCCAGAACCTAGAACGAGCAACAATCCTGCTGCCAAGCTTTTCCTCTAGGCTGTGTACTGTCCCCCCGTTACGCGACTTCGATCAAGGTAAGCTTTCGCGTGGCAGAATGTCACCCCAGAATCTTGTATCGCATAGCTGGTGAGACTAATCCGTAGCGCTGAATAAGAAATCATAAGCAGTAAAATTCAAAGAGCTCTTAATATCCATAGTCTCTTTCAGATCCGTCGTCGATCGAATCAAACGCTACCGCGGCGCCGACCCTGTTGGTTTCGGATCCTCGGTCACCATCGAATCAAATGCCAACGATGGAGCGCGAGAGAAAGACCCCTCGGTTGCTTAGTCAGCATATCAAAGACAAGACCCATCCATGGATCCGAGGTTCAATCTTGAGACTGCGTTTGAAAACATTGGGCTCATGGATGTTAACCCCAATCCTTGATACCATTTCCTACTTAATCATCATAAACCAACGGCATCACCATTCCCCCACTGAAAAGTTCCCTACCCTTCGGCGGCGAACTCACCCTCCTCACGCACACAACCTTCACCATCCCCCTCTCTCCCCGTCCTCGATTCAACACCTCCCTTACCCTCCCACAAAACCTCACCCTCTCCTCCTCCCCAACCTTCCTCCATCCGGGCCGATCATCCCACACCTCAATCTCGACCTGCCTCAACCCCGGCATCCTCCCCAACCCTTCTTCAACCCACCTCCACATCCCTCTCTCGTCTTCCCGTTCCCTCTCCTCAACCCACCGATCCAACGGTCCCTTATAGTTGTCGCCCCTACTCTTCACCTTCTCCTTGGTCGTCTCTTCGTCCGATCTATCCTCTCTCCCAAGAACCGACACCCCGACCCTAATCCTCAACCCTCTCAGGCCCAATAACATGCCACACAGCTCCCTCCAGATCTTCCCCCATTCTTGGTTACTCCCTCCATTGCATCCCACCAAATCTCCCAAACAAACCTCGATCCTGAGCCACCGGACAGCCTCCTGCTGCCACGGCTTAAGTCGTTTGAAGAAAGCCCTTGCCCCTGCTACTCCGGCACTATTTCCGAAGCAGGAGAGGAAAATGAATTCAGAGGTTGTGAAGGGCAGGTGGCGGGATTCGAGGTAGATTTGACGGTTGGTGAGGAGGAGGGAGGAGGGGAGGTAGGATTGGGGACGATCCGGGGATAGTAACAACAAGCTCTTTAGTCTGAGGGCGGTTTGATTGTTGGTATTGTTTTGGTCGGATTTCGGTAACTGCGGTGAGGTGTCGTCGTCGGCTGGGCTGGGAGGAATGAGAATGGGAGCTACCTCATAGCGGTCTGGAATTGGGGCTGGGTAGCCTTTTGAAGGGGAGCATGGGAGAAGGGGAGTGAGGGAGAGGAGGTGGCAGTAGATCTGGAGACGGATTTCGGGGGGTAGGTCGAGGAAAGTGAGTCGTCGAGCGCAATTGGTTGTTGGCCGGTTAGGGGCCGGTGACGTCGGTGAGGTATAAATCGCCATTGTAGTAGACGAGAGTTTTGACGTCAGTCGGCCAGGTAAGAAGGCATTCACCTTATCTCTAATCCGTTGTGTGTTGAAGAATCAAACGTATCCAAAAAGGCATCATTGGTATCGCTCGTTCGGACCATCTCAGAATTTATGTATGCCCATCGCCAGTCTCAACGTCTCACAAGAACGCCTACTGTTGTACCAAGCACCCACGAATGAGCGCCAGGGGGCTGAGCAGCAGGCTTGGCACCAGCAAGGAGAGAAAAATGATCAAGTGCAAAGACCAACCAAGAATGCCATTGGCAGTCGCAAAGCTAACCTCGACTAAGGAAACACCACGCACACGAATGTCAGATCTCACTTGCATTCGTCGGATCTCGCCTATTTTGTGGTCTGAGTCTATGTACATGTTGGGACCTGAGTTCGCTTGTGCTTCCGTATTGTCAGGTAAAGGAGGGGACGTGCATACTATCTGACCGGACTTGACATCACGCGTTGTACAGACGCTCTGTGGGTGAAGGTTGATCCTGGAGGGCGCCGTTATGGCGCCTTTCTAGACCCTCCAATCTGTGCTGAAGATTTCCTAGGAGAGCCGGCTTCTCGTCTCATGATACTACTCAAGCATTTCTGAATGGCGGAGTACATCTAGACCCCGACATTGCGTTCTTTTGCAGTGCCCCGCCTGCATCCGTATCTGTAAGTGCTAAGAGCACACAGTATGAGATGTAGAGATGGGAAACACTCTTCCGTGCTACGCTTGATACTTGTCTTGGCGGCGCCGGCTTGAATCCGCTTCAATCGTCATTATTGCAGACCGAAGAGACGGCACTGCATGGCAATACGACCAAATTCTCCATCCACCGACATGGGAATTGGTAAACCCGATACAGGCAATTGCCATGGCATCCGACCATCCACGTGTCATTCAGCGCGGCGGCGCCGGCCGCTTCGCAGTCTGTGCGACCTTTCTCATAGCCTCGAATTCAATATTCCTCGACACCCTCGTATCTCCCCTGGCTGCAAGCCAAAACAAATACTCCGGCTGGATAACCGGCTTCTTCGCCGCGGCACCTGCAGTACCCGCTCCAGCGCCCTGGCTTGCAGCACCCCCCGCGACACCAGCAACCCCTTCTTCCTCCTCTTCCTCATCCTCATCCTCATCCTCATCCTCATCCCCCAACTCCCTCTTCAACCCTGTCCTAACGTTTTCGATGCCCATTTCTTGTTCTTCAACTGTGTATTGTTTCTTGAGCTGCACCGTGACATAGTGGTGCAGACTATGCTGGAAGGTCTCTAGCATATCGGCCCATTGCTCATTGAATGGGTCGGAGGGGACGCCCTCATCTTCGTCGTCCAGGCCATACTCGTCATCATCACCGTAGCCATTCATTCCACGCGTAGGTGCGCCGCCCCCTGGACCGCTGAGTTTACTCACATCGATCCCCGCTGCGCGTGCCGTTTCCCTCGCCTCCTCTACCCAGCTCTCGACTTCGGGCTCGAGTTTCTTGCGCAAGAGTTGTAAAAGCATATGTTCCTGGGTACGGCCGGGGAAGTTGGTGGACGGGTGGATCGCGATGCGCTTGAAGATGTCGGAATTCTCGGTCATGAGCTCCTGAATGGAGCGCAAGTTTTGTTGGAGGATGGAGGCTGAAGCTTGGAGGGACTCACTGAGCGGTATGTGGTGAGTAGGACGGGTCAATATTTTTTTTTGGGGGGGAGGGAGGTAAGAGAGAAACTTACTATGTGGGAAGAGGTTCGGTGCGGATAAGATTGCCGGCGAGGCTGGTCAAGCTGCTTTGGAGCTGTGCGAAGCGGTTACGCAGAAGCTCTAATTGTTTAAGCTCCTCGGGAGCGAGGTTGAGAGAGGCCATTGTTAATAGCCGTAGACGAGAATTTAGGCTTGAACAGTGTGGATATTCTTCGTTTAGTTCTAACAATTTCTGCCCATTCCTGGAGGATGGATAATTGCTGTTGTGAGGTGCGAAGCGAAAGAGTTCAAGTTGATGGATGGTTGTGTTGTAAGTCCGACGCAGACAGCCTTGTGCCTGGCTCAGTCCCGGGTTAGGGTGAAGAGTAACTTACAGGCCTAACCCTAACCCTTATGCACTTCCGCATGTTCCCTACAGTCCAGGAGTTACATGCATCCTTGAACATAACCCATTTCTTCGATGGTCCTTTGTTGTCTTTGTTAGGACATTTTCAATCATGTGAAGTTATCAAGCTCTATGTTTCATTGTGTATCTATCGCTATGCTGAATGATTGCTCAAAACAAGGCTGTATTACCAGAAACGCCTAACAAAATCATGCTAAACCCAGACAAGCAACCACCCCCATGGAGGAATGAACCTCCTCACTCCCCATGCGACCCAGCCTGGTCAACCACCACGCTCCTCGCCTCCCGCCCAAACTCATCCACTGCCGGGAACCTCGCCCTCCTCTCCAAATCATCCAGCGGTATATGCGACCGAATATACTTCTCCCGCCCATCATCCACAGGACTATAGTCCCAGCTTGTAAACTTGCCCTTCGTCAGCGCCGCCCACACCAGCCTCCTCTTCCGCTGCGAATGCAGCACCTGTTTTGTGATGTCCTCAAAATCCCACTTTTCTTTTGCCTCCCGTTCGAATGCTTCGAATACTTTCTTGATCTTTTCATCCCTCTCTACTACCCCGGACTTAACAAGATCGTTCAGCTCAAGCGGGTCTGCAGCCATATTATACAACTGCGACCCGTCCGCCGGGCAGGTCACGTATTTCCACTTCCCCCGACGGATCATCATGAGCGGGGAGACGGTACCCTCGCCAGTATACTCGGCGAAGACCTCGTCGTGGCCTTCGTCGGAACGGCCTTCGAGGTGCGGAAGGAGGGAGACGCCGTCCATGGGGAGGGATGGGTGTGGCTTCGTGCCAACGAGGTCGCACATTGTGGGGAGGATGTCGAGAGTTGACACGTTGGCGGTCACGCGATGCGGAGTGAAGCGGCCAGAGGGGTCGTAGATTAGGAAGGGGACGCGAATGGAGGGCTCGAAGTAGTTCATTTTGTACCTGGGCTGGTGAGTTACATGCTTGACCGAGGGAGAGATGACTTGGGGGAAGGGGAGCCGGGGGGGGGGGAGAGGGGGAGGAGAGAACGTACCAGAGACCTCTCTCGCCGAGCATATCGCCGTGGTCGCCGCTGAAGATAACGATGGTGTTGTCTCCTAGACGGCACTTCTTGAGAACGTCCAGCAGCTGGCCGACGCAGTCGTCGACATAGCTGACCGCACCGTAGTAGGCTCTTCGGGCACGCTTGATCTGCTCCTCGTCGAACTCTTGATCCCAGAGGTCGCAGACCTTGAGTAAGCGCTTGCTGTGGGGGTCCTGCTGCTCTTTCGGAATCTGGACCTTAGGCAGCTCAATGTCGACGCCCTCGTACAGATCCCAGTACTTCTGCTCAATGGTGTATGGATCGTGTGGATGTGTCAAGGAGACCTAAACCTCTCGTTAACCTCCCCGGTCACATCATCACCCCCTATTCTTGTCACTCACAGTCAAACAAAAAGGCCTCCTCCCCTTCACCCCCTCCCTAACATGATCATACAAAAACTGCCTCGCCCTATACATAACCTCCTCATCATAATCCAACTGATTACTCCTAATACAAACCCCCGCCTGCAGTATCGAACTAGCATTATGATACCACTCCAGCCGTCTCTCTGGCTCATCCCAATTCACCACCCACCCAAAATCCCCCGGATAAATATCCGTCGTCAGCCTCGTCTCATACCCATGCAGCTGCTCCCCCACAAAATGCATCTTCCCCGCAAGCACGGTATGATACCCTCTCAGACGCAGGTAATGCGCGTACGTGGGGATGTCGCTCGCGATCTGGCAGGCATTATCGAAGGCGCCAATTTTCATGGGGAGGAGGCCCGTGATCATGGACATGCGGGAGGGGGCGCACAAAGGGGAAGGGCAATAGGCGGAGTCGAACAGGACGGATTTGGTGGCGAGCGCGTCGAGGTTGGGCGTGAGAATTTGCGAGGAGGGGTTGTACATTTTTAGGAGGGGCGCCGAGAGCTGGTCGGCCATGATATAGAGGATGTTGGGGAGCTCTTCGAGAGGGGTGTCATTGGTGGTGTTGCCGCTTCGGGTGTTGTTAAGGGGTTTTGGGGGGGAGGGAGGAAGGGTATTGATGTCTGGTGCCATGGTGTTGGTTAAGGACTCGAGGGAAATGCCTGAAACTTGATTTCTACAAGCGATGATTTCCGACTAACACAATGGCCCAAAAATTAGAAGATGTTCAGGAGAGGAAGAAATCTGGAGTTAGAAGTCAGTCTCCGTTGAGATCTACCCTCCTCCCCAACCACGCCAGCGGCGCCGACAATATGATATAATCCGAATCCATCGGCACCAGCGGGGACGACAATCAGAGCACGCAATCCTCTTGACGCAATCCAAAGAGCGTGCGCGATGGCGCCATTGACAACTGGGATGAGACGGCAGGCAGGGAAGTGTCTTCTTCACAAGACCGGCGGCCCGGCTATCGTCAACCACGCCCATCCCAGGAATCGCTGTGTCGGGATGAAGGAGGGCAAGGGTCCAGCGATCTCGACTGGGAGCTACATCACTTAATGTTAGGGGCTGTGGAAAGCCGTGAGAGCGGCTAGATGTCAATCCTGACTGGATGTTGCCTTCTTACGGGAGCAGGCAAGATCCTCTCGATCATGGTTCAGCTCGCTTAACAACACTCAAAGTTTTAACATGTGCCCCTTATCAGTGTCAAGGATATCACCACCAACTTGCACGTTCCGTCCCCTCATCAGAGTGGAGTGGAAGTAATGTGGGGTAACCAGGGATCGGTCGTGACATGCTGGAGAGGAAACAAGAGTTCTGGAACCCCTCAAAAGCTCCTTTTTATGCGCAGTCTAATTTATTTATGGATGTTATGGCTTTAAGATATTCTTTTTGCTCGGAATTCCGACAGGCTTACCTTGAAACCGCTGGCGCTCATCCGAACCATTCCGTGGCGTAGAGGATTGAAAGATAGGGCACCGCTGTCTGATGTGGTTATGATTCTCTTCGGCATCGCGTTTTGGGCCATTGGATGATGGGCCTGTCACTGCCACACGTGTTTGCGTCAAATACTCAAAGAAACGAAGTCAGAATCAAGCCTGTCTGGACCCATGAAGGAGGAAAATATATTAAACGGGGCGGCCTGCGCCAAAAAGAAAAACCAGGAGCCCGAACTAGCGAAATACAGAGGACAACCGCTATCTAACCGCGGCGGCGCGTCGTCGGGCCCTTGCTCTTCGGAGTCGGAGTCGAAGCGCGAGGGATGTCAGCCGCAGACGAGGTAGCAGCAGCAGGAGCCACAGAGGCGGTCTGCTTGAGTGGTGCTTCTTTCTTCTTGCCCTTCGCCTGGGGGGTCGGGGCATTCCAGTAATAGACCATCTGCAGCGCGAGGATGAGGTTCAGGACAAAGCCCGCAAGGAAGCCGTAGAGGATTAGCTTGTCGTCGACCTCCTGGAGGGTGGTGAAGACGCGTGCGAGGGAGCCAAGGAGGTAGTTGAAGACCTGGGGAAAAAGAGATGGTTAGAAACATGAACGCGATCTCGAGCGTTGGGCCTCAAGGGCCACGACTTACAGCGAAAGCACTGAGCTGCCCAGTGCTGCCCTGCTGCCAAATAGCCACAATCTGCGGCACCTTGCTCGCCACACTCAGCATACCACCTCCCACCTGGAGGTAACTCAGCTTCTGCATATCCAGCACACCTTCACTAAACAGCGTCGCGACAGCCGCCGCAAACACAGCAACGAACAACGCCGCCATGCTCGCGCGCCCACTATAATTCAGCACCAGTACTGTAATAATCACATTCTGGCCCAACACGAGCGCCGTCTCGCCGTACGTGCTAAACGGAAACCGATTCCGAAAATTGTACGCGAGCGAGATCAGGTAGCTGCTGGTCTCGAGCAGGTAAGAAAGGAAGGATATGCCGCTGGCCGAGCGCGACTGCACGAGCTTGATGATCTGGGGCACCTTGACGACGGCCGACGCGCCGACGATGCCGATGCCCAGGGCCTTGCTAATGGCTAGTTTGAGGCATTCTGTGTTCTCGAGGTCGACGTCGAGGAGGAGGGCTTTGTAGCACGAGTCGCCAATTAGGGAGATGCCCAGGTCGCGGATGGGCGCGGGGAAATTGTGCGTGATGGGTTGCAGCGCGGAACGGAGGAGGTCGGCCATTTTGGTTGTTTGTTTGTTCTTACGTTATTCGGGATAGTCAGTTGGTCAATTGGAGGTGTCCTTGACGTAACGTAGCCCGGATTGAAGGTACGCGACAACGGTTAAGGTACCTAGGCTGTGGATTGTTGGGCAGTTGTTGGTTTGCTTGAGGATGCGTGTCACTGTTGGCGAAGTTGGGCTGTGGACAAGGGTTATGAGAAAAATGCCCAGGGACGTCATCAGCCCAGAACCGCCCCACATTCACCCGAGGGTGCGACCATGCATCTCGGAGATTTAAAAACCGATTTGGGCCTATGAAACTACTTCCAATCGGGAATTACATCCAAACTTTCTCAGGCCACTATTCAGTGAACGTGATTTGACTTTAGAGAATCAAGTAGTCACTTGCCGCTTAATTTCGCAGTATGATCATGACATCCCGAGATAGTATAACTATTACCTAGGTATTGTTCGCTTCCTCACGCCCAAAGCCTCCTTCATAAGACATGCACTGCATGGGAACGACCCAATGGATGCTTCAAGCGTTGCCGGAGAAAAGCCCATCCCAAGTTTAACAGTAGCTTTTCCTTGTTTGAATCGCAGTTCTGGAATACATCGAAGCAAAAAGCTTCGCCCCGCAAGCAGCGAACCAAGACCTAGATGCCCGAAAGAACAACCCGTATGCTGCCAACTTGTTACGATGATGGCCTCCACCTCGTACTCTCCTTCGGGGACCTCTTCGTCATCAGCCGACTTGGCTGCGACCTTCCTGCTCCTGACAGGCTTCTCGGCAGCTTATTTAATGCCATCAATTTCCATAAACGAAAATTGACTTATGCGATGGGTCTTACAACAGCAGCCTTGGGGCATCCCACGCTTACCCTTCTGGCCTTAGCAGCGATTCTAGCACTAGTAACAATGCTAACTGCTCAGGCGGGGCAACCACGCTTACGAGCCGGGTTCAGTTCGGGCGTAGGCTCAGATTCTTGTTCACGAGTCTCAAAAGCCGCGGACTCGCGCCTACCTGCGGAACGATCCGCACACTTCGGTCCTACTGAACTCTTGGTGGACCTCGCGGTTTTGGCATCCGAAGCCCTTGCGGGCGTTGTGGTAGATGCTAACGAAGACCTCCCTCGCCACTTCCGGACGACGGGACCGGAGGGGATCTCTTTGCCGACTCTAGCTCAACGATATTCATTTCAGCCTCAGGGGCACAGCCCTCGTCGCTGTTGTGTTCAACCTTATCATCAAGGATGACGACAGTCATGCCGCCTGTTTCGTTGGGTCCAGGGCGATGCAGGTGAGGTTGGCTCAATGGAGCTGTAGAACGACAGTTAGCATTTGTTGGCCTCTATTGGATTAAGACACCTGCCGCGACTCTTTCCCGTTTTGTAGAGTGAAGAAGCTTGAAGTTGAAATATCGGGGAACCTCATGAGGTCGAACACAACCTGAAAACGAGTGACAACTGCGAACACTCTGGGGTTAAATAAAAAAAAAAACCAAGGGCACAAAGCGCGACGTGAAATGATGACATAACGGGCGATTTAACAAGATGAAAGGCGCAACTTCCTGTATCAACTTCAATTTTGAAAAACTGAACTCAAAAAGGTCGCTATGGAATAGCGGAAAGGGGCTGAGAGCTCCCTCTCGATATCTTCACTATAGAGCATCTTATGATGCAAGGAGTGGGAAATCAGACGCTGGATAAAGTTTGAGATAAACCGTATTCCAGACCAACCGCGCGAGAGAAGATGCTAAAGAAGACGATGTCCGTTAGTCAGTCATAACTCACAAAAAATCAAGAAATTTAGGCGGAATCCATATCTTCGTCTTACTTCGATTGAGACATGCCGGCACTTTCAACACCAACCTTAACCGCGCGGCGATGGAGTGAAAGACATCAGGGTGATGTGGTAAGAACGTGGGAGTAGCGTGATGATGTAAACATCAGGTTTTGGGGTTGCGGGTTAAGGAAGCAAAGGTCCAAGTGGCTCGTGTCAATTAACCTCCTCTAAGGGAGTTCTTGGGGTTTTGGCCGAGGGTTTTTCTGAATCACTTCAATAGATTCAATGTTATGCATTAATCGCAATATTTGGGCACGATTGAAGAGGTCCCTGTTGCTTCATACCTTATCTCCAGGGTTGAACAGACTTTCATCACTCCATAGGCTTGAGCTGTAACTTGCTGTCTTGTTGCCACGTTATGTTGAATTACTTATAAGTTAGGTCAGATCTCTGACTGGGAGTTCCGATTTGTCATTATTTACATCCACTGTTTGGGTAGGTATCTCAAGAAGACAGGTCTAAAGCAAAGACCACATGAAGGACCATATCAGTGGGCGGACGGTCAACAGATTAAAAGACAGGCCCGGATGGTGAACACAGTAGTTTCAGAAGAAGAAAAAAAAAGAAGAAGTCTAATCCGACTCGGAGTCGGAGTCGGGCAGCTCCTCAAACCTGCCTTCTTGCACCGCCTTCTCGATAGGATTCTCTACCGAGATGACGCCAGACTTCTTGACCCTATGTTCATCGTTAGCACCCATAGAAGAGCAATCAGCAGCTCAGGGACAACTCACCTTTCAAACAGCACAAACAACCTTTCAGCTTCCCTCTCCTTCTCCTCCTTCGTCATAGGTGGGATCTCAGGATAGCTCTCCTCGTCCAAGAACTGGCCCGTAATCGGGTTGATCGGCCTGTTGATGCTGCTCCCCTCGCCAGTACCATCACCCTTCATGGCCTCTGGAGGCACAGGAATCTTGTTATCGAACAAGAAGCCCGAGGCATACCCATACCCAACATTGTTCACAAACTGGTGCGGATCCCGTGACGATATATCAAAATACAGATGCGCGACCGACTTCCGGAACTCGGGGGCAAGCGGGTTGCTCCAGTTGCGCAGCAGCCTTGACGGCAGCGTCTCGGCCTTGCCCAGGACTTGCTTGCGGTCCTCCTCGGTGGGCAGCAGCCTGGTGCGCATGACGCGGCGGACGGGTGAGTCGGGGAAGGTGTTGCTGCCCTTGCTAGTCGCGGGAGCAGGCCCGGCCGCCGCAGGAGCGTTTTGGTAGACTGCTTGGAGGACGCACACCAGCGGAGTGACGGATTGCTCGAGGCCGTCGTCCGAGTAGACCTTCATGGAGATGTCGAGGAGGTCAAGAAGGCGGTTGACAAGAGAGTCCGGCGTGTCGGGGTTGGCTGGGTATACAGTGGGTTTGGCGGCTTCGCTGCCGAGGTTGAGGTTCATGAGGGCGTTGATCAGCAGGCTGAACGGGGGATCCAGGGGTGTCTTGGAGGTTTTGGGCAGCTCGTAGCTGCAGAGAATGGTTGCGATGGGTGGAATGGCATCGTCGAAGGAGCTGATATGGTTCGTGGCAAACCGAGTAACGTTGAAGATGAGCTTGAGAGTCTCTCCCAGGGCCATCTCGACCATTGGGTCAACTTTAGCCTTGCCAGACTTTGGTGTTGAGGCTTGTTCGGCATGTCTCTTAAGGTTTTGAATAATGGACTCGGCGAGGTGATGTTGCTCTATCAATTTCGGTAGATCGACGTTGGTGCCGTAAGTGGTGAGAAAAATGAGGCGAGAGAGGAGGAACTCATCCTCGACGGTACCGTTCTTCAACTTCTCACAAGCTTTCGGCTCATACCCAAGGTCAATGAAGAGCTGCCGGGTTTCCGCTTTGAGAAGCAAGGCATTGCAGAGAATCCTGAGGGCACCGCGGGATGTGCTTTCCGAAGTACTCTCGAAGGCATACTTGGCAAGGGTTTCCAATCCCTAGGGATATGGTAAGCCTCATTCAAAACAATCCTAGTGACGAAACAGGCGTAGGTACCTGCTTGGTAAAGATGGGGTCGGCATTGGTTGGGTCACGTCCAAAGATCTTCAATTCCTCGAGAGCAGCGTCACGTTCTAGGGGAAACTCAGCAAAGACTCAACCACTAGCTATGATGGCCAAACAAACCTTGCGTTGAAAGCTTCATGTCCTTGAGATCTTCAGTCAGCTTGTCCATCAACTTGGTGACGGCATCAAGCTTAGCTTTGTGATCTTATCAGCCACTGTTCTGGATACTTCCTTTAGGGACGGTGTGGGCTGACATGGCCCCTACGTACCTGGACCTCGCAGTGTCCCGAAAGAAAGTAAAGCTCCTGTTTGCATCATACTGGAGACTGAAATACTCTCGTTAAGAAGGTATCTTTGCGGAAGAATGCGATGAAGTTGCTGGGTAGATGTCTCTTGAGACGTTGATGTTTGACCCGGACTTTCGGTGAAAGTGGGGCAGGCTGTCTGGATGGAGGGGTGAAGCTTTAAGCTGAGAGCACCCAGCCCCAAAGCTCTGCCGGGTTTTTAGCAGATGACTTCAGGCGAAACAGTGGGGATCCTGGAGTTGCGCTCAATATATCATCGCTTCAATTTCCACAACATTGCTAGTGTGCACATATGCGTTTCTTTTGTGGGTTCCATACATATCAGGGTTACGTGAAGGGAAGGAAAATTCCACATGATTGTTGAACCTCGCCTTGACTATACCTGTGCTAAGAGGGTTCCCAAAGAAGTTGACTTTGTAAAAAAAAAAAAAAACGTGTCTGTAGGCAAATTAAAATTGGATCGCTTGGTCTCTCTCGTTGTTAAACCTAGATGTCCAGCAGCCCGGATGAAAGTGTGGTTGAGGACCTAGTGACACTTGACCTTTTGCGGTTGAGCCTGTAGGTAACGAGACGTCGTGGCAGAAGAGCACCTGTGGTCATGTTTATTCACCTTTCACCATAGGTCCGGAATCGAACAGGTAGGTGGTGAAGATACCTTGCAGTCTATGTACGTGCCCGCGTCTCTCGGAGAGCGGTGGAGTTATTTATCCAACACTGGGTGGGAGTGTCAGTTCCGGCACAATGCAGGTCTCTCCGTTCTCCGGGTACTAGGCCGATGTTTTCGGCTCGGGAACGCTGCGGAACGGAGATGGACAAACGGCGGCGCTGACGGCAGACGCTGCTGTTGATGGGACCGTTGGGCAAAACGGGCTTGGCGGCAGCCTGAGCAGGGCCTCAGGGTTGCGAAAAGAGGGGGGTTGACTGGTGGGGCAAGCCGCAACATGGTGAACTGGCTCTCCATTCGACCCTTGCAAAATGCCAAAGTGCCACGCGCAGTTCTCAACGCGCCGCGTCTCCAGAAATCCGGGGACGCGCATCGCGTCAAGGCCTGTTAATTGCTTGTGCTACCCTTTCAGATGAAAGCTTCTTTGCAGCTACAGACCGCAAACCTTTCATCGCATGTGCAGTCACCCATCTAGCTGCTGCTCTTATCGTTGCAGCAACTGACTGCACTGAAACCGACACTCTTTTCGTTTTTCTCTTTTTGTGGGATTGTGATCTTTTCTTAGATTTCCTTCTCTTCCTGTTTGTGCCTTTCTGCTAAAGGTCAGTTGGAGTTGGGATAACGGTATTGCGGACTTCGTCTCAATGCTGCTGTACTTCCCGTAACCAGGCGACAGACAGCTTGCAGCCAGTCTATCAGATCTGTCTGCACGGCCTCTATCCCCAACCTAACAAGCGGCATCCTGAGCAGAATGTCATCGCCGGTTATTGTCTCTAGTCTCTTGAGCTCTCTGCCTCCTAGACCGCCGACTCCACCTCGCGAAGCACAGCATGCTCCTCTTGAACCAGACAGAGCCTCACTCGGACTCGATAGCTGCTCGAGCATCCACACTCCTCCTGGATTCCAATCGCCCACTTCATCCCTTGTGACCACTTCTACCTCCCAGAGACAAAAGCGGGTCGGCTTCTCAGCTCATGCGGAGTATAAAGATCCCCCCATATACCCCGAGGGCGATAGCACCAAGCAGCATCCGACTCCAGCATCCCTCCCTCGAAGCGCATCAAAGCCAGTCAAATCGATCCTGAAGGTGACGAGATACGTCCCGAACCCTCTAGAATCGACCAACGGAGAGACCGGCAATCCTTCGGCTTCCCATGCGGATCTGGCCGTCATGTTGGATTCTACGCTTCAGCAGCTGGCAGGCGGCGACCGCGACACCAAGATCGACGCCTACATGATATTGACACGCGCATTACAGGCTTCGATCAACGTGCCGGACCGCGACGCCTTGCAGGATAAGATGAGCCTGTTCACGCAGTTCATACAGCGAGACATTACGGCTAAAACCCCCGAAGGCAAACTCGACACTTCCCTCGTCCACCAAGCCATCAACCTTCTCAGCACCTTTCTCCATTACCCCACCATCGCCTACCACATCTCCCACGATTTCGCCGTTTTCGTGATCGATCACTGCATTCGATCGTTCGGCGATGCCTCCACGCCGAAAGATACGGTCCGCCGTCTCCTGCAGCTCATCTATCTGCAGAATTTCACAGCAAAGGTCATGACTTCGGACAGAGTAGGACGGTTGATCTCGGCATTACACAACATTGATGAGCGCTCGAAGGGGAAAAGCATTATCAAGAACCGGGTTACCGTCTATCGGAAACTTGTCCAGCAGGCGCGCCAGCGGATGGTTGTTCACTCGGATTGGATCAAGGATATGTTCACAGACATGCTGAGCAGCATCAGTGAGATCCAATCCTCTGCCATCTCATTGGGTTTGGAGGCAGCCTTTGCCCTCGGTCACGAAAAGCTGTTTCCCAAGAAGGTGATGGAAGTTCTCAACACGTTTTACGAGGGTCGGCGGTACATCGAGTTCTACGAGGAGAAGCTGAAGACCATGTCCAAGGACAAGCATCAATCTGCTGCCGTTCCAGCCATCTGGAGCGTGGTTATCCTCCTTCTCCGGATCCCTTTCGATCAGTGGGAGTTCGCGACGAATTGGCTGTGGATTGTGCAGAATTGCTTCAACAGCGCGGACTTCCCAACCAAGATTGCCGCCAACCATGCCTGGGGGCGTCTCGTTTGGCTCATGCAGCTGGAACAGCGGGGGTTCAAGAGAAACCTGTCCACATTGACTACACCATTCGTTAGCCAGCTGAAGAGGAGAGGCCCCGGGAAGACATCAGAAGAGCTTCGCCGGGCTGTGTTCAGTGGGATATGCAACCTCTTCTACTATGCCTTCAAGCCGGGCACACCTACGCCCCTCCTCGACACCTACTGGGACAACAGCGTAAAGCCAATTGTCTCCAAACTTCTCGAGCTCGCTCCTACCAGCGCTGACGAATACTTCACCGAAGCATGCGCCATACTCAGGGGGCTCTTCGACTACAGGAGGCAGAGAAAATGGAGAGAGGACCGTATCGTTGAGCCCTCGCTCGTAAAGGCCGACGAGCTTCCAGCCATCGACGCCAGATGGATCAGAAGCAACCCTGGCCGGATCATGGCTCTAGTAGAGCCAATCATTCAGCGCAGCTTTAGCGATCATTTTGGCAGCCAAGGTTCCGCACCTTCCGCGGTCTGGAATGCCCTTCTCTCAGCCGTTGCAGCAGCCTCTTGCAAGGATATCAAGCCTGACCGTGACACTACACTCTTTATCAATGAGGCTTTGAGTGTCTTCCGGAGGATATGGGACAAAGGCCCGGAACTATGTAGCTGGGGCAACCAGCCTGCCTGGGAACAATTCCTGACTTCTGCCGGTCAGTTTCTGAACACCATGTTTACCTCGCTTGGCACCCTGCCATTCACTGAAAGGTCTGGGAAGCAGCAAGCACAGTCCAAAACACCTCTTTACACTCTCTTCTCAGTTCTTTCATCTCCTCCTCCCAATTTACCTGATGAATCGATGTACGCAGCCATGTTCTCCAGCACGTTCGGCCGGTTCGTGGAATCAAAAGCGCCGAGGGTACGGATGGACATTGCCCGGGATCTGCTTTCTACTATTCCCATGGACGCACCCCGACCCTACGGCCCTTGGCTCTTTGCTGCTCAGAATGTACTGTCGTGGCTCGAATATGAGGAAGAGAGCAACCACTCGACCACGTCTTCTGGATTGGAGCCGCCAATTGGCAACGATTTCCGAGAGGTTGTCAGGCTACTTGAGCGTGGCGTCAGGTCAACTCCAAACCTCCCTTTCGACGAGTGGGAGAAACTGTTCCAGGCTGCGACGGCTCGGGTACGAAAGGAGACGGGAGACGCTGGGGTGAACATCGTCGTGGTTGAACCTTTGGCTAAGATGCTCCGCGAGCAGATTTCGTCCCTGGAGCCTGACACCATTAGTACCAGGTACATTCAATACGTGACCCAACTTGAGTCAGCCGCAGCGCAGGAGCAGGATGCAAAGGCTGTGAATAACGCTCGGCGGCGACTTTGGGGTACCGCGCTTGCCGGCTCTCGTTCTTCGACTGTTGATACCCTTGACCACTTCTACAAACTCGTCAATGAGACGCTTCGTCGGGCATACACGGCCTTCAGCTCTGAAATGTCAGAGACGATTGCCACACTCTTCCGGCGGCTCGATAACTTCCTTATGACAACCCACATACTCCTCTTCCCTCGGGCGGTCTTTGGCTTTCTTGATGGCATCATTCTATGGTTCCAGGACAGCAAGCGCTTGGTTGGGTCGAAGGGCAGCAACCTCCATGAATATGTAAGTCATGACGCTAGTTCCCTCATGACTTGGAAGATTAACATCTATCTAGTTCTACACTGTATGGGACACCTTTCTTCACTTTGTCAAGCAAATCCCAAATCGTGAGCAGCAGCTACAGGCCCTCGAACCGTTCTTTTGCGCCGTGTTCAACTCGACTCACCTGAAAATTGTTAACATGGGCATCGAGGCGTGGAACTTGATGTTCAAGGACACCAAGCACCTGGACTACCCGGAACAGCTGAAAAGCGTGCTTCTCGGGTTGCAGTCTCGTGTCGACATTGTTCTTCCCGGAATCGAGCCGTCGAGCGTCTCGGATGCTGGGCAGCAGCAGCCCATGTACGTTGATTCATTCGACCTCAGCCCGCCGAAGCTGGCCTCTACGAGATCGAGTCGTAATGCATCTCCTCAGCCGCCATCTTCAGCTATCAGATCTTCACCGTCGATCAAGCTTAATTTGCCTATCCAGTCCTCGCCTGCCGGACGGGTCACCCGATCGCAAGCCAAGGCCCTTCAGAGGAGACCTAGGCATGATGATTCCCAAGTCTACTTTGCCCCAATCGAATCTTCTGATCCGGGCAGCCCTCTCGACTCTCAGCTGTTGACTGAGCACCAAAAGGAGGTTCGCGAGCGGCAAAAGGAAGATGCCCTTCTCTTCTCTGAAATCCGTCCATCTAGCCCTGGCACCAAACGAAAGGAGCCGGCCGACTGGACTGGCAGTTCCCAGGAGCGCTCCGCCGCCACTCCTGAGCCTGACGGTGCGTTTGACGATTACGTGTCCTCGACACCAACGCCCCGTCGTGGCCAGCCACTCCCGTTGCTTGATTCGGACATGATAGATCCGCCTTCGTCGCCGCCACAGCCGAGACCGAACCCGTTGAAAGCAGAGATCAGGTCGAGGTCTATCTGCAACAGCTTGCTACAAGAATGGCAGTTCTCATCTTCGCCGGTTTCTGGCTCACCTACACCCACACGCATCATTCCCGGATCAAACAGCCAGCGTGATGTGGCTAATGTTCCAGCGACAGATGATGATCAGCCACGGCTGCCAGTCCGTCCTGGAAATGACGACACCAAGGGCGAGACCGACTCGGCTGCGGAGGAGGTCATCGAAGAGAGCGTGATCCTGCCCTCTCGGTCTCCTAAAGCCCCTGCAAAACAAGTCGAACTTCCCGCGGACGAAGACCTCTCTATTCCGCGTCAATCACCCCTCCCCGATCCCGCCCGCGAACGCGACCCAACTCCCATGTCCGACGGCCGCGAGGAGTATGTCGATGCTCCGACGAGTCCGTCCCCTTCCCCTAAGCAGACCATGAAAACTTCTGCTGCTTCTGCTGCTGTAGAGGGTCCCGCCGATAATGACAAGTCGTTCGTCAGCAATCCGTCTTTTGATATCAGCGAGGCAGACGAGCGTAGCATGCTTCGTCTTGTTGTGGAGATTGATTCACGAAATCTCAATTCGGCTGAATATAAACGGTCGTCTGCGAGCCTGACTGGGAAGGGGCTGGCTGGGAACGTAGGGGAGGTTAGCCCGGGCTGTATTGTCGTTCGTGATGAGACTCCGAAAAAGAGTGAGGTGGTCAAGCCGGTCACGAAGAGAGCTAGGGCTGGGTCGACTGTTGCGGGGGTGTCGGAGAAGGAGGAAGACGTTCCTGTGAGCTCGCAGCAGCCACAGTCGGCGCAGACAAGAAGGGGCCGTCCGCCGAAGAGGAAGAGGGCGGGTTCTAAGGCAGATGTGGCGGGTGCTACCAAGAGGCAGAAGAGAGAAGGGAGTGAGAAGAGGGAGAGGGTGTCTGCTATCCAAACAGCAATCGTTCCCAGCTCCGACGCGGAGCCTCAACAGCAAGCTGTTCAGTCCAGAGCTGTCGAGGCCAAAGAACCTCCTTCGAAAGAAGAGGAACGCATGCCTAGCTCGTCAGCAGATCTTTCCAGCTCGCAAGGGCTTAGTACCAAAGCTGATCACTCCCAGCAGGAGGAGGAGGAGGAGCAACAGGCCCTGGCTCTGTCGCCTCTAACCTCGTCCGCCGCTGATGTTCTGGACATCGAAGGCGACGATGATTTCGAGGTACAGTCACAGATTGCGTTGGAGACGTTGACGGCTAGTCAGAGGCAGCAGCAAGAGGAAGAAGAAGACGAAGATGAGGAGCTTCCTGTTGAGGTGCCTATGGCTTTGCTTACCACTACCGCACAGCAGGGGAACCAGCAGCAGCAAGTTGTTGCTGCTGGCCAGGAAGAGGAAAAGAAGAAGCCTTTGACTGTGGGCAACCAGTTCCAGAAGATGATGGAGCTTTTCCGCGCAGGGCTGGACGAGCTGCGCATAGCGCGGCTGTCTAGGCAGGAGGTATACCAAATCGAGGATTTGTTTATGGATATGAGGAGGGAGTTGTATGAGGCGGAGAGGAGGGGAAGGAGCTGAGTTTTTTTTGTTTCCTTTCCTATGGTGCATGGTCTATAAACAGGGCATTGTTTTTTTTTTTTTTTTTGTTTCTACTGTTTGGTGCTGTACATGGGAATTGGGTCGAGCAGGTTTTACTCAGGATGGTTTATTATCTAAAGGGTTCTGTTTTGGTTGTGTTCACATTCACATTGAAGCAAAAGAAGGCATTGACTGGCATGGCATAGATGTCTACCTAGCCTGTATCCATGAATGAAGCAGGAAAGTGTTGGGCTGCTGTGGCACATTGAGATTGAGTTTGTATGAGAATGGGTGTATAAATAAAATGATGATACCTGAGCTGATGCCCAGCTGCGACATGGACAAGTCTACTGCTGAGTGAGAGTCTAAACAGTGTCTTGATGTGATTAAATGTGATAATTCTTAAGCTTAACAGCCTCTAAGCCTCCAAAGCTGTGACACAATCACTCGCCTGACAGGACAGTCACAACCCAAAGGTGATGGCTCTCATCACGATCCCGCGGCACGAACCGACCAGGGGCCCAGCTGTAGGCTGATGTTTCAGGTTATGCAGCTCGACGGCTAGAGCACCTCTAGCTGGGTTATTGAGTGAGGGGAGGAGGTGACAGAGGGATCCACGATGGTTGCTGCTCGAGCCTGATGGATCTCTGTCCGTGGGTCCTTTGCCCCGCCACGCTACCCCTCATCCTTACGCTGATCAGCCTGATCGGCATCAAGCTCAAGGATAGATCAAAGAGTTTTGAAGGGGGTTGATGTCATTGTCCTTGTCAGAGTCTCTACTGTGTATAGAAAATAATAAATACAAAAAGATTCTGGGTCCTTGGGTCTTCTAGTGTGTCTGGTTGTATCGGTTTAGCATTGAAGGTTGCAGCAGGTAGGCTCAGGCTGAAGTGTTCTGGTGTTGCAGTGAACTACGTGTAGGCAGGGCTCCCCCACTTCACCAATTGCCAGGCTTGCCCCGCAGCAGCAGCTCCAGCTCCCGAGCAGACGGACATCCCACCTCTCTATGTTCCTAGCCGCATTCGTCACTCCCTACCTACCTTTCTGGCAAGCTCTTCTTTTTCTATCCAACCAACCTAACCAAGCCACAGGATAGCTATCTACTAGCTTGTTCACATCTGTTCGGGTCAAGAGCCAAGCTCACCTTCTCCCCCCTCTTCTCGTTCTTGGACCACTCAACCCAAGCCGGGCAACTAAACCACCACCCATCTATAACCTCTACAACCTACAAGAGCTCTCCTCGAGGACGATCCCAAGCCTAGCAACGCCTGTAACACCACAAAGCCGCCAAAATGGTCGAACGCCCCAACAAACCCAAGCTCGTTCCTCTCTCCCCCACAACCGCCACTCCTCAACCGATCGTCTCCTTCTCAGACGACAACTCCCGCGTGACGGCCGAGCTCCCCTCAGGCGAGTCCGTCACCGTGCTCCTGTACGGCGCAACAGTGATCAGCTGGAAGGACGCCGAAGGCCAAGAAAAGCTCTGGCTGAGTGAGGCGGCCAAGCTGGACGGGAGTAAGGCTGTGAGGGGTGGGATTCCGTTGGTTTTCCCTGTATGTTTTTTTTTCCCTCTCCTCTCTTATTCATACCTACCCAAGGTGTAGGGACTTCAGCAGGAGAATGCTGACAGCAATATAGGTGTTCGGCCCCCCATCCCCGGACCATGCCCAAACGGCGAAACTCGTCCAGCACGGCTTCGCGCGGACCTCGCGCTGGGAATTCCTCGGCAAGTCGACGTCCGAGTCCGCAGCCGGCGCGGCGTCCGTGAAACTTGACTTCGGGCTTAGCAGCGCAGCGGAAGGGCTCGACCCTGCCGCGCGCGAGGCCTGGCCCTTCAAGTTTTCGCTCATCTACAGCGTCACGCTCTGCCCGGGCAGCTTGACGACGGCAATTGTGGCTACGAACGACGATGATAAGCCGTTTGACTGTCACGCGTTGTTCCATACTTATCTCAGGGTTGACGTATGTTTCCCTCTTGACCGTTCCTCATCTCCTGTACGAGCTAACCTCCGCCGTAGGACATCTCCTCTGTTTCGATCTCCGGTCTTGATGGCGCCGCCTACATCGACAAACTATCCCCCTCCGACCCCAATAAGACCGAGTCCTCGTCATCCGTTACAATAACCGGCGAAACCGACCGCGTGTACACTCCCACCTCAAACGAAATCACCGTCCTCCAGGGCGACAAGCCCATCTTCCGCATCACGCGCGACAACCTTACCAACGTGGTGGTATGGAACCCGTGGACGGAGAAGGCAGCTAGCATGGGCGACTTTGCGCCGAAGGATGGGTACAAGAACATGCTTGTGTTGAACCCGGGTCGGTGGGGACTTGGCAGGTTGTTGAGCCGGGGGATGCGTTTGAGGGGGCGCAAACTATTAGCTTGGTTGGGGCGTGACGTGTGCGTGTTGGGGGTTATGAGGGAAGTGATCGGGGCCTGAGGATGAGGAGGGGGAGCATGTTGTAAAGAGGTCATTGGGCGTAGGTAAGGAGGGGAGGTGGGGGGGGGGGGAAGGGATGGTAGAGTTTTGCATATACCTGTGGATGTGAAGACAAATCAGGGGCTGACTCCAATGAACGATACATTTTTAGCAGTTTAACTTATGAGTGAGGTAACAATTGATGAAAATAGGATGAATTCTTCATAACGGTATACCGTTAGGTTGTGTAGTTAACGACTTAGGTTTTTACCGGCACCAACCAGGTCTCAAGCAACCGAAATCATTGCCTTTCCGATCCCAGAGCACCAATTTGTCATGCTCACATGCCATCCATTTTCCTCCCCAAACGCCAAACCCAACCGCCTTAGTCAGAAGCAGCCTTCCTCCTCTCACTACGATAATGATCAGCAATCAAAAACGCCAACTCCAGCGCCTGCTTCTCATTGAGGCGAGGATCGCAGAAGGTGGTGTAATTCGTCGACAGATCGTCCTCCACCAGCCCCTCGCTCCCGCCTAAACATTCTGTCACCGCGTCCCCCGTCAGCTCCAGGTGCACTCCGCCCAAATAACTCCCCTGCTCCTTGTGAATCCGCAGCGTCTGCTGCAGCTCACTGAAGATGTCGCTAAACCGCCGCGTCTTGATGTTCCCGACCGATTGGGTGTTGCCATGCATCGGATCGCACTGCCACACTACCGTGCCGCGGTACTCGCTGTCTTCGACGGCGCGGATGTGCGCTGGTAGCAGTGAAGCGACTTTGCTTGCGCCGTAGCGGGTGATGAGCGTGATTTTGCCCGGTTCGCGCTTGGGGTTTAGGGTGCGCAAGAGGGCGAGCAAGTCCTCGGCGGGAGTCGTCGGGCCGACTTTCACGCCGATGGGGTTCTCGATGCCGCGGAAGAATTCGACGTGGGCGTGGTCCAGCTGGCGGGTGCGGTCGCCGATCCAGAGGAAGTGGGCTGAGGTGTCGTAGTAGGCTTTTCTGTTTTCGGAGGGAGGGGAGGTTGGGTCTTCCAGGAGGCGAGTCAGCGCTTCTTCGTACTCAAGGAGCAAGCCTTCGTGGCTGGTGTAGAGGTCCACGGTGTGCAGCTTGTCGCTTTCGGCGCCGATCGTGTTCATGAAGGCGAGCATTTCCTTGAGAAAGTCGACCGCTTCTTGGTACTTGGCTTTTAGCTTGGGGTCGCGCACGTGGCCTAAGCTCCAGTCCAGCGGCCGACTCAAGTCCGCAATACCGGATGAGATGGCCGCGCGGATGTAGTTCAGCGTGGCGGCCGAGTAGTGATAGGCCCTGGTTTAAGTCAGCGAGGTGTTACACGGAAACAGTCCGGAGTGAAGACATACTTGACCAGCCTGCTAGGGTCCAACTCCCGCTCGTCAGGATGGAAACCATTTAGAATATCACCTCGGAAAGAGGGCACCTCGCGGCCGTTGATGACCTCCGTGGGACTAGACCGCGGCTTGGCATACTGGCCAGCCATGCGACCGATACGCACCACACGCTTGTCGGCGCCCCAGATGAGCACCAGACTCATCTGGAGCAGCAGCTTGATCTTGGACTCGATCGCCCTCGGCTCGCAGTAGTCGAACAGCTCGGCACAGTCGCCGCCCTGGAGCAAAAAGGCCTTGCCTTGAGCGACATCACGAAGGTGCTGCTTCAGCCTCACGATCTCGCGGGGATGGACAATGGGGGGCAGGCGCTTGAGCTCGGACACGGACTTCGCGAGACCCTCTTTGTTTGGGTACTCGGGACACTGCTTGATGGGCTTCGATCTCCAGGAATCGGGAGTCCACACAGACGCATGCCCGTTGGCCTCTAGGCTTGTGGTCGTGGTGCTCATTTTGATTTAGGGGCGAGATGGGTATCGTCAAAAGGTTTGCTAAGGGGAAATGAGTCAAAAAGTGAAAGAAAGGCTTTGGTACTGCAGGGTACCACGAAGGGAGAGGAGCAAAGCGAGGAATAAGTGAAAGGCAGGCAAACAAAAAGTTTCACACAGGATAGAAGTATCAATGCTCGTAGGGCTAGGTATACAATATACTTGAGGACAGATGGGATGAAAGAAGGATGTTTAGGATTCGAGGCTAAGAGTTAAGTATTATACGGGCGTAATATACTAATCCTCAGGAAGGAGGAGTGGCTTTTGAGTGTTTTGACACATGGGATGTTTGGCCGAGTCCATGGCGCCGCCTGCGACCCTGCGATGACTCTTGACTCTTACCAAAAAAACTGTCCCAATCCAGGTGCGATGAAAGAACGTCGAATTGACCAATCGCGATTCCTCCGTGCCTTCCAGTGGGGTTGGCGGAGCCACGACCATGCGCGGCCTTGGCGCTCGGCCCTAGTGGTCTAGCCGTTCTTGGCTTAGCGCACCCTCAACAACCCCTCCCCCACATCGCAGCTGGCCGAGCGCGAGAGCCAGAATTTCTGACGGCGCAGCGTGCGTGTGTCGTGTGTGATGCGCTCGCAGCTTGGAACAGCAGCAGCAGCCCACAACGACAGGTCCCACTGACCTTGCATCGCGTCTCCAATCCCTCCTCTTTAGCGCCTCTAATACGAATTATTTAACCCATCACGATGGCTGCCGAGGACAGACAGCCCGCCGACATCGTTGAGGGCGCCACCGCAGGCGATGTCGAGGAGGAGGTGGCCCCGGCCGCCAAGTCGGCCGAGGACCGCAAGGCCGCCGCCGCCCTGTCCAAGCTGGACGCACACGCCGACGAGGACATGGCCCCGGCCCGCGAAGTCGACCAGGAGGCCGTCAAGAACGCCATGAGTGCGCTTAGCGGCGCCTCTACGGAGAAGAAGGAGGTCAAGAAGGTCAAGGTCGACCCGGCTGATGTCAATCTGCTGGTGGGTTTCCCGGTATAGTCTCTTCCCGTCTGGTATGTCATGAAGGCTAACAAGAGCTCCCTAGGTTGAGGAGCTTGAGCTGTCGAAAGCCAAGGCGACCGAACTGCTTAAGGCGCATGATGGTGATGCCATCAAGGCTATGAAGGCTTATATCCAGCCTGCTTTTTAAGGGATGCAGCCAAACATCTAGTTGCTCTCAACTATTCATATTGACCTCTCGTCGATACTCCTCGACGTGTAGGATTTTGACTACTTGGGCCACGACTGACGGTCCATCCATGGAAGAATGCAATCTGACCCCTTCCATCCAAACTTAACCTCCTTTTCAGGACCCTTGGCATTAAATGTCTGCGAGATCCTGTTGCGCTCTGGGCAAAATAGCAAGCTTAGGAAGCACGATACCCCTCGAATACAAGAATATTTTGGAACTAATGCAACAAGAGGGCGGAATCACCTAGTGATGGACGAGAATTATAATGTGGAATGCTGTGGGAAGCACTCTTGGTATGGAAAGGACCATGAGTTGGTCACAGCGCTTCATCCGGATGCAGTGGTTTCCATCATGTTCCCCCCGCAGTTCAAAAAAAAAGTCATTGAGTGAGTGATCGCTGTGTACACACACTCCAATTCTCCTTTGCCTGGAGTCGATGTTTCCAATGCAGTTGCGGCTTCCCGTCGTCTCACCAAAACAAAGCCTCCAAATATGAGCTTGCAGCCCATCACGGTTCGCCAAACAGCTACTTCTTCCCAGATCCCGATACACCCCACTGTTTTGGATCACCTCCTGCTTCACCTCATACCTGACATACCCCCCCCCCCCGGGAAACCTGTGTCGTTATACCGTCGGGTATCTGACGTGTCTGGCTGTATGTTCCATGCTCCAGCTTCTGATGAGCCGTCGTTTTCGAGTTCAAAGAAGTAGGCACGTAACTAGCCTCGCTGCTCGCCCGACACATTGGAGCAATGCTGCTGTCATTCATACCGCAGCTTAACTGACACTGACTGTCGTCGGGCGCAGTGTATCTTGCGCTGCCTCTGCCATCGTTGTAGAATGTGCTATTGTTGTGGTTTTGATAGCAGTAGGAGCCGTCCCTGCAAGATGGTGAATTAACTTGGTAGAAAGGAGCATACTGATTGGAATAGTGGTCGCCTGTGCGACCGTCCCCGTAATCTGGTGAACATCAGTGATATCCTTGGTTGGTGTTAGGTACTGACATGAATTCGAGGGATCAAACGGCATGGATAGTCTGGAGAGTAGACTGCTAGTTTTCCTGACATCCTAGTTTGTGCCACTGCCAGCGTAAGTGAAATCCCTGTCGGGCGTTTTGGCTGCTGTGATCGATATTGACAGTGTTGGAATTGCAAAAAAAAAGACAAAATAAATAGATAAATAGAGAAATAAAAATGAAAAAAAAAATAAAAATCAACAGTGATGGTTACGGCGATGGATGTAACTGATATGCTGGGAGGGAGAACAGAACCCACAAAAGAGCTGACTTTGAGGTCAACAAGAAGGGGCATGGGGGGGCATGGGGAACTTGAATAGATACAAGCAGCACCTCCTGCTCAACAGGTAGGGACAACTTATTCGCTCAACAATGGTGAAACCCCCACACGGAATTCTTTCCGAAGTGCTTTTAAAGGTCAATGATATCTCCTGGAACGAATGCGTCAAGGCAAGTGACGAAAAAATGTGGCAAGCTTGCTCAACCTCTTATCGTTACCTTAGCTATCGAGGTTTCCAAACATATAAAAAAATGCTACCTGTACCATCTCATGAAGGAGATATGTAAAGGTCATTGTGAGTCCTACTCTGGTCACCACATAGACACCAAGTTTGCTTACGAGATTTGCTGGTGTTGCGATCCAGACATAGGTGGCCTCAGAGCATTAGAGGTCTAGGAAAGCATAGCCGCAGGCACAGTTTTTCCCAACTGACTTATTGCAGCAGTAGTTTGGTGTTCGCAACCCTCCTCAATCTACCATAGTATGAGAGTGCTGTTTACTAGCTCGAGCTCTTAATTAAGCCCCAAGTATGCAAGGATTAAAGATCCGAAGTCTAAACAGGTCTAAAAGCACATACCCATCTCGCACTTATTCACTGGGTTTAGAAAGGTAGAATCTAAAGGGAGGAGGCTCATAGGATGGAGCACTCTAGCTGGTTTGCATTCGCATAACTTGACAAACACCATTAGTAAAACGCTTATTCATATGGTTAACCATGATATTTGTGATAACTTCTCTATCACACACTCATCAAACCTGTCACGACCAACAACGGCTCTATCTGGGAAAGTAGCTTCCGTGTAACTGACTAATCGGAATAAAAGGAAGATGTAGCCCATCAAACTCGGATATCCACCCAAAACAATCAAGCATTGGGAAGGTGTTGACCCTCAACAACGGTCTGTGCTGTTGAGGAGGAAGGAAGGGAAAGCCATAAGGGTGTTTGCGATGTATATAAGATTCCAGGCAGGGCTATCTGGCCGAAGAAGCTCTCCAGTCAGCAATATTACATACAGTTGCTTACCAACTGGTGACCACAACGGCCACTTTGGCTGTGTGAGAACTCTTGTCTCTCAGGTCCAGAGACCTGGTACCTCTCGAACCCATTTCAGGAAGTCTGTCTGGATCGTCATAGATACTTTCCAGTGCTCCGACTTTGATGAGAAAAGTAATTATATTAAATACTTGGAGAGTTGAATATTCGGAATAGGACAAATACCAAAGGAGCCCAGTTATAGATGAAAACTCTTGAAGTGCAATGTCCGTACTAATACTTCATCTGGAGGGTGGATAGGTACAAGTCCGAAATTCTAGAATGCGGTAAGGTATCCATGAACTATCTTCTTAATCATATATAAAAGTACGGACAGCGTACCTGGGCACAGGGAGCAACGTTGAATTTCTGTCTTGTCGACTACGGAAAGGAACTGACCTACGAAGGAGTTTTCTGAGAGTTGGAGGGTATCCCTGTATGGAAAGGGTGATTGGAGTCCGAGTTCAGAAGACTCGATTAGTCCAAAATCATGAGGCAAGAGCATATCAACAAGTACATACTGGAAGAGCCTTCTCAGTCTCCAGTAAGGGTGTCCCTCTTCCCGAATCTAGCCCCTAACCCGCCAATATCCCTCCTGAAAAACTTGCCAATATTCTTCAAATTCTCATTAATCGTCCCTTTGTCCCCCACTCCCCCACTACCCCCAACCCCGCTCTGCCCCGTCCCTATCCTCTCCACCCCATCCCTCGCAGCAGTCAACAACCTCTCCCCCAGCGTCGCGGCATCAAACCTGCCCTGCAATCCTGCCGCCGCCACGGCCGACGATCCGGACCCAGTGGCCCCACTGATCATCGACGCGGACGAGCCCAAACCCCCTCCCGACGTCATAAGCGGTGTCAACAAAGGCGAGCTCTGCACCAGCTGTCTACCCTCGCCCTCTGCCACTGCCCCTGGAGCATCCCGGTGTATGGCGAAGAGCTCGAGCAAGTGCGCATGGTCTTGCTTGCGCACGCCCTTCAGGTCTAGAATCTTCCGGAAGTTTGTGTCTGACCGGTCGCCGATGTGGATCAGGTATGCTTGGACGAGGCCTTCGGGGGGCACGGGACGAACTTGGAGGGTTTTGAGGAGAGGGTCGATGCGGGTCATGGATTGGGTGAGACGTTTGAGGTAGGCGGGAGGGGGCGGGGGTGGAGGTTGTTGTGGATGGGGAGTGTGGTAGGAAAGGAGGTTTTCGAGGGATTTGGTCAGGATGTATTTGTCGAGGAGCATTTGCTCGGCGCCGACCTCGCAGATGGGGCGGCATTGTACGACGTTGTTGATGTAGGCTGTCGAAAGGTACTCGACAACGTTGTCGCAGAAGGCGCGGGCGTATTGTTGTTTGGTGACGAGGGGGAGGATTTCTTGCGCGCGGTCGTTGACGTGCTTGATGAGTTCGCCGACGTAGGAGCTGTGGTCGCTAACGCTTTCCATGCGGCTCCAGTTGGTGTTGCGCATCTCGCGCCATGCGCTGGCACAGTCGATTTCGACTTTGGTTACTAACGCCATGACTGCGGCGCTGGCGACGCCCATGAAGGCGTCAGATTGAGACGATAGGTCGACCTTGGATGCCATTTCTGGGTCGATGCGCTTCTTGATGCTTTCCTCAAGCTGGTTGGTATTGATGTACCAGAAGTCTGCAGTGTTCAGGACGAGGATGATATCCTGTATTGGAGGACCTTGGGCGCCACCACGTTGGAGGAATGAGACCAGGACTTGTTGGGCATATTCATCTAGGTATTTGGCAAAGACTTTAGTCAAGTCGAGCAGACGCTCGCCTGTGGAAAGTTTAGAACATTGTGAGAGGGTGAGTTTGTAAAAGTGGAAGAGCTCAATGGCTGATGGGATAACAGCCTGTGATGTAAACTCTTCGTCTGCTTGAATGAGCGGTTGTGTCTTGTACTTGGGAATCATAGATGCCAGGGCCTTGTCTTGTGACTCGACCCATAGGCTGAGATAAGGCTCGAAAGCGACGGATATTGACCCGTTAAAGTTCTGTATCCTATCGTCTGCTGAGCTTAGAGTGTCGATACTGGCCCGAGGCTCGCTCGCGAACTTGCGTTCTAAGCTTTGCTCAAAGTCCATGGTCTCCTGGAGACACCTCAGCAACAAGTTGACATCGAGTTTGGGCCCGTCTATCCTGCGCATGCTTTTTTCCAAGATCCCCTTGAAGTCCTCGCGGGTGCCATCACAGAAGGCCTTGGCGAGCTCTTCACTGACACGCCATTGGGGCGGAAAGATGCTGGCATGCTCTTCCTCGTAAGTCTTAAGCATACGCCTGAACCACGCATAGCGACGCCCAATATTGTCTAAGCTACCTGCTTCATCGTTCCCTCGGAACACTTGGCGGTACTCGCGCAGCTCCGTGTTGATATACCACGTTATCAGCCTGGTCTTTGCGTGTTCTCCGAGCGCGTCCATGACATGGCAAGCCTCAATCAGGACACCGCGCCGAGCAGCCACCTCTCCCTTAGCAAAGGCAATCTCGAAATCCTCGCATATTTGTTCCAGAAGCTCCCGCTGGAGCTCGTTGACGTTTCGGCTTAGGACGGCGATCTGCTCGATGCTTCGGTAGCTGTTGAAATGGCGCATCAGCTGCAGGACAGCCTGGAGCAATCCGGCGCATTCTCGGTACTGTCGAGTCCGCGCAAGACCATGGAGCTGCTCGTAGGCTGTCGTCAACATCTGGAGCCGCTTCAAGGCGGTCATGCTGAGTGTCAGGTTGCGCTTGGTGTTATCCAAACGTTTGATATCGGCCGTCATGTTAGTGATATCGCGCTCTGTCTGGAGGGCACGTGTCCGAACGTTCTCGATGCGCTGGAAGAGCGAGGATAGCTCGGCCTGAGCGGACTGCATGCGCTGCAGCGAGGAGTCGGGCCCGCAGGCCTGGGCAGACTCGAGGGCGGCAATGGACCGGGAGAGCTCATTCTGGTGTTTGCGGATAGTCGAAGACACTCGGCCAACGGACGATACGGTCGACGGGTGGGAAAACAGGAGGTTCAGGTGAGCCACGGGGTCATACTCAACTGAAGACGAGATCAGGGGAACATGTCAGTGAAAGGTTCAGTCAGGACGAGAAACTCTTGACCCATTTGTTTCGATCCATACCTGAATCAAGAGAGGATGATCCGGTGACTGTGCTATTCATCGTGCTGGGTCTGCCGGGCCTAGCCCTACCTCGCCGTTGTTCAATCCTCCAGGCAGAGATGTTATAAGATCCCGTCGACTCCGGGTCTGGCGTTGCAAGACGATGCAGCTGTACGTAATGCAATCCCATGCAGTCTGGAAGGATGGACACCCCAGACACATGCTGACGGGACCGTTTTGGGATAACGCCAAGAAGACCCGTCATTGCGGCTAACGGCGGCTGCGCTTGGCCCGGGAGGGGGGGCAGCAGCTGAAGGGTCCGTGAAGGTCATTGGGCTCTGCTGGGTGGGACAGTGCTTATCGATAAGTAGCTCGACGCAGCCCCCCTTCTACGAAGTTCGTCTTTTGTGTCAACAGCAGCCCCAGGAGCTGCTCACTATCCCGGAGGCTCACCAACCACGGAAACCCCAAACCAAGATCGTCACGAAGCCCCTGCTGCAGCTCCAGCCGTAAACCGACAGGACTTCGTGTCGCCAACCATGGTGCTGCATCAGCAATCATGGACTCAAATGCTGCAGCCCCGACGCTGACAAGGCAGCGCGTCAGCGTGACGGTGCTGTCACTTGCTGCTACGGCTACTCTGGTCTACTTCACCTACCGCATCTTCAATCCTGAGCGCGATCCTGACCGTCACCTGCACCGTAGCAATGCTGTTCGCCATCGTCGACGCTCGCTGCCCCATACTGCCCGCGCCCGCGGCCACGAGAGCCAGCCATCCGACACCTCTGACACGTCGGCTGAGTCCCGTGCTCTCGACGAGAACGTCGATCACAACACCGTCCGTCCGCTGAACGATGGCGAGACCGTTGCCGACGAACATGGGATTGAAGAGAACTGGTTCGATAATGAAGACAATCATTTCGCCCATCAACAGCAGCGCGCTGGGCAGAACATCGTCAGTCTGCTCTTTCGCGTTTCCGAGGACAATGCTCGTCGGAATGCCTACGTTCACCGTGGCTGTCTCTGCAATGGATGTGGTCTTACCCCGATTCGTGGCATCCGGTACCGCTGTGCCAACTGCGCCGACTTCGATCTCTGTGAAACGTGCGAGTCTCAGGGTCTTCATACCAAAACTCATGTCTTTTATAAGATTCGCATCCCCGCTCCCCGTCTCGGCTCCCGCTCTCTGCAGCCCGTTTGGTATCCTGGTGATCCAGAAAACTGTTTGCGACTTCTGCCCAAGCATCTGATGGCCCGGCTATCGAAGGAGACTGGCTTTGAGCGCCCTGAGCTGGAGGCCCTCTGGGAACAATGGACTTTCATGGCAAACACCGAGTGGCGCGAGGACCCGGACGAGCTCTATTTAGCCATGGACCGGAAGACCTTTGAACGCTACCTGATCCCATCGGGAGGCTCTAGTCATATTACGCCCAATCTGCTTCACGACCGCATGTTCGCTTTCTACGACGACAACCACGATGATCTGATTGGGTTCTCCGAGTTCCTGAGAGGCACTGCTTATCGCAAACGGAAGGATAGACTTCGCAAGATCTTTGAGGGTTACGACATTGATGGTGACGGCTATGTCAGCCGCAAAGACTTCTTGCGCCTGTTCCGGGCATACTATGTCGTTTTCAAGCAGATGCATAGGGACGTTTTGGAAGGACTAGCTGACCAAGCAATGAGCTACAACGAGGTTGAACAACTTGTTACTAGCAGGCAGCCGTTGAGCAGCTTTTTTGGGCGTGAAGGAGGCTTCAACAGTGGCGATAGTGACCGGCCGCTCGAGGGCAAGGTTACCATTGGCACCGCGGGAGATGTCCATATTTCTGGAGGTTCCGGGGTCGTGAAAGAGGACTCGCCAGATACCATCGATCGCCAGTCTCTCTTGCTGAGTCTCTTCACTCGACAGCGACAAACTCGCTACACCCACGAGAGTCCTTTCTTGGCTGTTATAGACGGTTCAAGAGGAGGCGAGAGGTCCGCTATGGAGTATCTGCAGAGCCTTTTTAACCCGCCAACGCGGGTGAATGAACTCCCTGCACTGCTTCTTGGTGAGACACCGTCTGGTCCGGATGTATTGATCATCATTAACACTGGAAACGACCAAGGCGCAGATAACCAGGGCGACCGCGATGCAGGCAATGGAAGTGACAATTCGTCCAGGCGTGGAGATAACGGCTCCGGATCCAATCACCGCGCCAGGTCGTACAGTTCTTCTAGCGCAGAAGACGACGACGACCATCGCAAGACTGTTAGTTCCCACCGCTCGGCTCGTCGCGCCAGGGTTGAGGCACGCAGGAGGCTGCTTGAGCGCTGGAGAAGACGACAGTTCTATCTGGATGAGGAAGAGGGCATGGGCCCGCCGGAGAACTGGAGCGACAGCGAGGACATCATGAATCGGATGCACATGAATGACGAGTTTGAGGACTCGAAGAGCTCTCAGCCGCCTATTACCCCTCGTTCTCGATCTTCTTCCAAGGTGCGGTTCGTCGAAGACACTGACGACTTTGATATCCGGTCCAACCCCTCGACTTCTTCGAGAAGCATCCCAGAGAGGTGGGGTGGCATGGAGATTTCCGACGCAGAACGCGATGTTGGCAAGGAGATCTTTTACCAAGTCATGCAGCAAGCGTTCGACGAAATCCTTGATGTCCTCTTCAAAGAGAAAGAGGACCTTGCTATCGAAGCAGCCAAGACGAAGGCTTTGCGGGATATGTACAGACCTCAGTTCGAGTCTATTGATATTAAGGAGGAGAAGGAGAGCACCACACCCGAGGAGAAGGACCCGCGTGAGGAGACCCTGGAGGAGTTGCTCGCTAGGACCGGCTACACTATCGACCCTCCTACACAACAGAGTCAGGACAGCATTGATGCACCTCAGGAGGACCACAATGAGGACGATGGCGAGTATAGCGACACAGACGAGCCAACCACTTCCGAATCCTCGACAGAAAATGCCCCTTACCGCGATCCAACCATGCCTCAATTCCGGCCCAACTCTGTCTCAGACATCACGCCCCAGTCTCCCAACAGACACAAGAGTTCCAAGACTCCTGCGAACCCCTCCCGCTCATCAAAGAAGGTTTCCACAAGCAAAGCCAATGCAGAAGACTCAAAACAGCCCGCGCTCCCCGAACCCATCCCTCGCTCCACGCTGGTCTACTGGAAGCGCCTAGACCTTGCCGAGCAGGAAGCGAAGGAGCGTGGTGGCTGGGGAAGGCTAGACTATGCGGAGTTCGAGAACATCTACCGCAAGCAGGAGGCGAAGGGAAGCAGGATGGATTTCTTAGGCACGTGGATCGACTTTTGCATTCCTCATAATTAGATGGGGTTTGAGGATGGCAAGGGGTGAGGCTACGTATGAGGGTCTGATCGATTTTGGGTTTCGAAGACTGGGATGATGGAAGAGGATTGGAATGGGCGAGGTATGACATGAGATTCATGAGCTGTGATGGTTAAAACTGGGTTTTATTGTCTTCAACAAAGGAAAGAAAACAATCAGTATTATACATTAGGACAATAGGCAAGCAAAAGCGATATCTACTAGAAGAAACCATTGCACCTGCTAAATCCAAGGAGTCCATTCTTCATCAGGATGTGCAGTATTACTGACTGGCTGTCTCTTTCCCAAGGGATGGCCGAGTTGTTTGTCTTCATACCAATTGGCAGCAATCGAATTAACTATCCTTAACCAAAACGCCCACAATCAACTTTTCTCAAAGCAATTGTTGTCTTATCATCGCGATATCATTTCTCTTTATCTTTGCTACTTTTGTAGCTGAGCTAATGGGTACCTTGACCATTATAGTGGAGCAATTGCCTTGCGAACAGAGCAGTGAGAAAGAAAGGGTAAAGTGAACAAATGCGTACTAATCACATTACATTGTTCTTAAGCACGTGGCAGGTCAGGAGCTGGAACTCGGGTCCTGACACGTGCAATATCGCATACTCAACAAAGTAATGGCTGTAACTCGTCAAAAAATCGGATATTTATATCTTTCTCAGTCGTTGCTGTACCACTGTAAGGCATTGGGTGTCAAGACTATTCTGCCTTCTAACCTCTGAAATCCTCATCCATACCAGTTTTGCCCCAGCACGGGCTTCTCCCCAGAGTTACACGTATGCTGATTATTAGATGATGATTATCCGATGTCGTCAGGACACCACCTAGCACCATCAGGGGTGAAATCGGTCGAAAAATAGAATTCAAATTCAACTCTGAAGTTCTCAAAACTCAATGATGCAAGAATTAAGTCTTACGATCAAAAATTCAGATACTCCACGCAGAAATGAAATTCGCTTTCAGCACTCTTCTGATCTTGTTCAGAGATGGAAACAGCTCATGCTCGTCTGCTTTGCTTTTGACGCGACTGGCAATCACCATCGGCACTTCAAAATCAGTGGTACGCATGCTGTAATGCTTCCTCAACACCAACAATGCTCTTTGCAAGCATGATCTGGCTTCATCTTGAGCTTCAGTTGTTACAGATATCATCCTTGCTGATGTTAAAATGTGTCTTCTAGAATTTATCTACTCTGCTTTCCCTGTACTGCAAGACACACCCTTTGCTGGCCAGAATCAGAATGGATCTTTGTTGGGTAGTAAAGCAGAGGAAGGGGTTCTCCTCCGGCCCTTGAAGCTGGCGGAAGATCATCCGTACTGACTCCCCGTCAAAGTAGGCCCTGTCCTGCTTTAAACAGATAGGCGATATGGGTGACCGTTTTAGGGATGAGTGGCATGGCGTGGCATAGAGGGGGTTGCCGGGTTTGACCGGTGGACTGAGGCAAAAGGTAGGGAAGGTAGATCATCGTGGGGAGTGTCGGTAGGTATTTTCCAGTTTGCAATGCATCATTCTATCATCCATCACGATTTTGAGACCCCGTCCTAAGGTGGGATGGGCAAACTGTTTTGGATAAAACTCTGGAAGAGGATTCCCGAGCATCCTGCCTGCACAGCAGTCCAATAGGGAGCCGAGTAATAGTTTATGCACATAAGATTACATTCAACGGTCGGAAGGATGATCTATGTGGGCAGGTATGTAAGGTTTCAATGGTACCGGTTTTGTCAAACACAAACAGGGCCGAGGCTCGAAATAACAAACGGGTGCAGGCTCAGCTATTGGGAATCTTATTTTCGATGCAGCTCACAATGGTCTTCATCTGCGGAGCGAAGGGTCTTAAAGCCAAGCTGAGGGGATAAGCAACATGGTCGCCGGCAGATCGTTCATCGGGGAGTGGATGGATCGAAAGAGCGATCCAAGAGATAACACAAATGATGATGCTCTCTATGACCCAAGGAGGGAGTGTCAGCACTTGGACAAGGCCGAAGAACGTCTACTAAGTTCTGGAATGTGATCTATGATTAGGCGGGCCAGGCATTTTGCCAGAGTTAAGGCATATCAAAAGGAGACAAAGCATCCCAGTCAAAACGCGGCTTGTCACATCTATTGATTTCCAATAAAGATGACTTGACTTAGGTTATAGAAGAATATGAACGACAGAAATCAAACATACTCGATTTCAAGCAACTAAACATTGCTAGGATATTGTTCTCAAAGCCATTCTTGCCTTTAAAAAAACACCTATGTCAAATCCAAAAATGACCAAGCAGTTACCTATACCCCGACCAAAATTGTATACCAAAAAAGTTCTACTAGTCCCTGCCACTGGTGCCCTTTCACCACGGCCGCGATAAAGGTGCAATCGCATGACAAGTGGAACACTGAATCTCCGCGCGTGGCGCATACACCCCCCTCCGATGCAGCTTGACACATCTGCAGACCCAATACCCTGACGTGCCATCCGGCAGGGGCTGAACAAGATCAATCGTATCGAGCGGCTTGTAGACGCCGCACGCCAGGCTGCACTCAACACAGAGCCGCAGTTTGCCCCAGGTATCTCTGATCCGCCGCAGGTCCGAGTTTGATGGGTCGTCGCCACTGCGATGAAGGTTGCGATGGCCTTTATTGGCAGCCATGAGACTTGTCCGAGTCAGGCTTGGGTCGTAGTGTGGATTGCCTGTGGGTGGGACTCCCTGTGTTGTTGATGATGATGATAGCTGCGGCGAGTTGGAGCGATCGCGAACGTGTCTTGGATTGTTAGTATTGTTGTTTTCAAGAATCTCGTATTCCCTGATGGGCTTGTTGTTCCACTTGTATAGTTCGAAGCAGCGGAGGGGCTTGGGTCTCAGGCAACCGTAGCAGCCGTACCAGGTGATCTTTTTTTTCTTCGATTCTGCCGACCGTTTCATCACAGATTGGTCCTCGTTGTCGTCAGGGAATCGTTCGAGATCGCGCAGCCCGTTTCTTCTGACTTCGTATGGAAGAGAGTCTGGGTTGAACTTGTCTCTGAAGAATCGACAAGTTGTGTAAGCAATGAGGCAGTCCCTCCACCGAAGGTACATTTTGATACGCTCAATAATCGATTCAGGAAGACGCTTCATGTATTCGATGTCGAAAAGACCTTCGTAAGGCTCTTGCTGGAGCATCGTAGATGCATGGGGGATGGTCGAGCTGAGATGGCCTGTTGTGACAGACGCTGGCTGATAACGTGCGGGAATGTAGGCTGAATAAACTGTTGGATACTCTTGAAAGGTAACAGAAGGTGGTTGTGTCGTCATAACAGAGTAAGAATAAGTGGGCGCTGGTGCAGGTGGCTTCGAAACCGGGCATTGGAGCTGCCGAGGACTCGATATCGAGCGATACAGAGGGTATTGAGACGACTCGGTATGTGGAGAATAGGACGAGGCATTGTCGATGAGCGATGGAAATTGTGAGAGAACAGCATGCGGAGCAGAGCGCTCACGCCCATAATGATGACATCGAGTCCCTGGAACTAATGGGCTCCCAGGCTGAGTACCAGATACTCGATGCCGAAGATATAGTTCGCGAGATGTTCCCGCTAGTTGAGGGTTGGACTGCGGTGAGAAGGTTGGCAGCGACGAAGCTGAAGAGATGGAAGAGAACCGAGTCTCAGTGCCCAGCTGGGGCTGGGTCAAAGGAGACGGAGAATAGAAGGAGTTTAATGCCATCTCTCTGCTCTAAGGGTGAAGTTATGGGCGAACACAGAGATCAAAGCTTGGGAACGCTGTCTCAGCCATGAGCTGTGAATAATTCATTGGTGATAAAGAGCGCATCTGGTGAGCACTGAGGTCTGTGTCGTGTGCTTGAGCGGTGCCAAAAGGCTTGTAGGCACCTTTATAAGTTAAAGATATATCAAGGACTGTCAAGCTTGACCGACCTTAGCCAAGACAATCAGAGAGTCAGTGTGGCGAGGAACGGCCGAGAACCTACGACAATGTTGACTTGATGGTTTGGGGGAAGGCTGCTTGACCAGGTGATATCACGGACGCTCGTCGACGTATTGGGTCTTAACCCCTAACTCGAAGTCGTCCTCGAACCTGCCGGGGAGGGTTCCGGGTCCCGAGAGAGCAGTTACCAACCAGAGAGCACAAAAAACTGCGCTGACAATGCAGATTGCTTCTTTGGTATAGATGAGCTGGGTTTGAATGTCGAAAAGTTGAGCTGTCTGCTAGGTTGACAAGCAGGGAACTTCTGGCCAAGATGCTGCCCAACACAGGGCGATCATGGTGCTCAGATCCCTCAACCATGGCTTGGGCGGATATTTGATGACAAGTCTGATTTGAAATTTGTGCAACCGTAATCCTTGGGGAATATCCAAAAATATCCCGGGATGGCCTAGACGGAGGATAAAGAACACAAGTAGTACTTGTCAAGGACAGTGCCCAAAGATCAGGAAGGTAAGAGGTACCAGCACGAGGAAAAACTTGAAATTGAGATGAATGTGAGGATGTCTGCATAGAAACTAGGGACAAGGAGTGCCAGAGGATGTGGACGGTGGAGACATTGGAGGTGGTAAGAAGAGATAGGGTGTATGTACGGGTTCATCCCAATGAACACATGCTGTTTGCATATGATAGTCCATGTTAGACACGTAGTACAACTACAACGTAGTCAGTGTATGGAGCAACGTTGACGAGAATCCGAAGGACAGGGTAGCTAAGAGTAGCACCAACAACAGACCACCCCCACCCTTCCCCCCTCCCGGGTCGACCAGGATCCAAGATGAGTTACTGGTCAGGGTTTGCCAATCTCGATTCAATCCTAGTCCCCTGGATGCTCAGCCTGGAGTAGTGTGCTAATGTGTCCAGACGAAGCTTGCAACGCTGCCCCGCGAGGCTCTGTGAGACCTGCATCAAGACATCGAATCGACAGCGGGGCTTGTCACTGGCGCTGCGGATAACTTGACAACTGGTTCCTTTCCGCAATCTACACAGTGGGATTTTTCGGGCTGCCCAACCCCACC